TGCCCCCATCTGTCTTTGGTGCATAACAAACACCCTCTTTCCCAAGTTAAAGAAAACCCAGACTTGTTACTTTGAGAGTAACAACATCTGCAAACAATAGCATCCTGACACTGATACTTTTTTTTTTTGCCTTAACAGAGGACAACTATGGGAAGGATGGGAGGGCTAAGCTCCAAAAGCTGGTTCTCAAAGAAGAAAGACATCCACTGGCCAGAAAGCCAAACTTTTTACAGATACTGTGTATGATTTCAGTAAGACTTCCACTGTTGTACTGGAGAAACTTTGGGGCTGAGGTAGGTAGAATATGCCACTGTTAACATGCTATAAAGAGATCTAGTGGATTCTAGAGGACATCCAGAAAGAACGGGGATCCTTTTAGAACTCCACTGGCACACCTGCTTTTGCTTTGGACTATATACCTCACCAGCTGCACAAAAAGCATTTTTATTCCAAGAAGTCACCACTAACACTGAGTCACTAAAGGGAAAAAGAACCTAGAAGTGTCAGACGGTATCCAACATTGGAAACTTCCCCAAGGGCAAAATCCACAGCAATTTTTTAAACTACAGTGAAACTCCATTTCAAACACCCTTACTTCATAAAGCATAATAACAGTCAGAGAAAGAAGGCTCTGTCAAGTCAAGCGAAACAGAAACACTGCACCTAGAAAAGTGGACTTTTTTTTTCCTTTTTGCTTAAAATCAGAGTAAGCACTAAGTAGAAGACAACCAGTATAAAGATGTCACAGGAGACTGGAGAGCATTGGGAAGAAGTGGACACACAGTCACCTTGTTTCTTGTTTCCTCTGAGGAAGCTGTTTTAGCTCATTGTATATATGTATGACCAGCCTATTACATATCAATTACCAATTTCAAGATGGGCAGTGTAAATAAATATTCAATAACGTTCAAGTCAAAAGGAAATTCCTTAAAGTTGTGAAGATTTTTGTCAATAAATTGTGGAATGCCCAGATACCGTTTCTTTAAATGTTGCCTTGTTACCACATGATTCCAGGACTGACCGTTTTTAAAGCACTGCAAAGAAAATGCAGTTAATGTATGTCCTGAGTTTTAATGAAATCTTATTTGTACAGAAACATTTTTAGTGTGAGTATTGTATTGTTCACAAACCCAAACCATTGTATGGGGGAGGGGGGTGGATCTGGTTTTTGTGTTTTGGTTTTGTTTGGACTTTTTTGGGGAGGAAAGGAGGAGGATTTCATCATACATACACTCTAGAAGATACAGTGAGTAGTATGGAGGGACTTTCTGATGGGGAAATTTTACCCTGGAATTTCTTTTGATATATTGGAAACAGATCCAGTGACACAGTTCCAATGAACAATTGTAAAGCTTTTCCCTTGGTTGTAAAGACAGTGAAAAGTATAATCCAGTCTGAGATTGTAAGGGTGCTACCCCACTCCTGTTTAAAAGGTACCATCTCTTAAATGTCTGACTTAGCATCTACAGTCATACTCCTTTTTAGCTTTCTGATGAGTTAATTGCTATACACAAGAATGGAAGGAAAAGAAATTTATCATTGCTTACATTTTAGAGTCCTTAAATGCCATAGCTAAAAGGGAGTGTAAAGACCAACCACACCTTTCAGTAAAAGGTTTCTTCTTACCAGATGTGTGAATTCCATGAGTTATTTAACAAGCCAACATGGATGAAAAGTGCTGAGTAAAATTGTCAGGGTCCAGCTTTAAATAGAAACCTTTATTTACATTGACATTAACATCCAAAATAACAATCAGAAAAGCAGTCATAGCTTACAACCCAGCCATCTTATAAATCATCCCATGGGGTTTGGATTTTTTGCAGTGTAAAGAAAGATACAGATATTTCAAGCAATACTTAATGTAAACTACATTTAAATTGAATTCATTCTCAATACTGTAAGCCTTCTCCTGAGAATTTTTAAATATTGCTCTCAGAATTACATACAATTTTATGATTGCTGTATCATTTCCACTGTCTTTAAAATTCCACATATTAACCAAAAAAAAAAAAGGAAAGAAAAAAACCCCTGCACATTACAAAATGTAACATTCAAAAGGTTTGCTTTATAACAGGGAAAAAAAAAAGCTCTCCCTTGCTGTTCAACGCAAATATCTGGGATGCTATAATTTTTTTAACTAGCTCACATGTGTGCAGCTTCTGTGGCTAAAAGAAGACCAGATAGACAGGTAGTAAAAGTGACTTCCCTGCAGGAGGTTAAAGTGGCCACTGCTAGCATTCAAATGGCCTCACTTTCCAAATCAATGAATTTTCTTAACAAGTGTTTTCCTGTGGAACTAAATTGGGGGAAAAAAAATCCCACCCCAACCCATCTCTTAGATATTAAACACTGACGTACTAAGCAGTGCTGTTTGTATTCTATACTTCTTTCTGTCCTGATAAATGATTCATAAATGGCATTGTCAAGAGAAAATCATTAACAATGCAATTTCTTTTTTTTTTAAAGGAAGGAACATTTATTTCTTTTACATCACATTTTGAGCTTTATAAAAAAAAATATATCTTTGGATTCAGCAAAAAGTAAATACTGGTAATATCCAACATTCTAAAATTAGATGACGTTAGGATTTCTTGTACATCCTTCAGGTACTATATTTTAGAAAAAGGACACAGAAAAGTAGAGGAAGGAGTCAGAAAAATATCAAGAGATTTTTCAAAAAAAGTAAAAAGGGCAGGATGTACAAAGCCATCAATATTTGCAGGTTTCACCGGCATAATGAACAAGTATAAAATGTTTGAAGAGTCTGGCAGGTTTCATACTGAATATAAAAAGTAGGGAGAAGAGAGCTGCCTTCCTTTCAGTGCCTGATCATGTAAGTCTACCCTTGGAATCAGTTCTGAAGAGACCTCAAAGGGGTGGGAGTGCAGTGTTTACAGCAAAAAAGGTAAGAGCACCATTCTCTTTGTTAAAGACAAAGATAAGTTAAACAAGGGAAACTTACACACCCCAAGAATAAAATCTATGTTTTAAGGGGTGGTAAGAAAGTACTTGATTTCCCTAGAGAGGCAGCTGGTGGCACAGGGAGTAAAGCACTGGGTCTGGAATCAGGAAGGCCTGAGTTCAAATCCAGCCTCAGACTAGCTTTGTGAACCTGGGCAAGTCATTTAACCTCTATCTGCCTTAGTTTTCTCATCTGTCAAGTCGGGATAATAATGGCACCTACCCAAGATAATATTTGTAAAAAGCACTTAGCACAGTGCCTAGCATAAAGCAGGTGCTATAAAAATACTTCTTACCCTTCCCCTACTATAAATATAGCTCTGCAAATGAGGCAAGTCGATGGTCTTCAAAGTGCAGTTCTCTAAAGCTCATAAATCTACTGTCTTCAGATATGGATCTAGTTTGTGGGAGAGTAGGGTGTTATGTTTTTGGTTGGGGGGGGTGGATGGAGAGGGAATAAGAAGAGATCCATTAAAATAACCTACATCTTACTCCCACATACATTAGCCTTAGGAGAGTGTGGTGGTTGTCACTGATTTTAAGTCATAGAGCTTCTAAAAGAATTTTAGACATATATTAGCATTGCAATTGTTCCCACTCCCATTTTAATAACAGCTTTGGAAATTCATGTTTGCACTGCTAGAGACTTACTTTCAGGAACTTGGTGAAAACTAACTTACTGCCAACTCCCATGTAAATATGGCAAACAAGAATGTCAGAAATATTATAACAAACCCACTGACAATGCCAAAACTCAAGTTTAAAATTTAGGACTAAAATAACAAGTGACCTGCATAAAATGGTTTTAAGTTGTATCTTTCCTTCCCTTCCACTGACTACCAACTGGAGCTGTTATCTATAGCCAAAAACAAGACCCAGTGGGTAGTTGTCATATCTGATATATGAATAATCAAGACTTGACATTAGAGACCAAAGTTGTAATTCACTAAAGGGTTAGAGCTGACCAGAAAAGCCAGCTTTGTTCACAGGGGCATAAAGAAAATAACAATCCTAGCTATGGTGTTAACAAAAAATGGCTAAGACGACATTGAAAATTAACACAAACTCCTAGTAATGAACAGGCTGCTGTTTACATCAGTTCAAAGCAATGACAAAACCTATGTCATTCATCCACTCCCTGACTGAAAAGGCAACGTGTTTAAATTTTAAAAAAAAATACCCTGAATTGCTGTCATACAATTCACGGAGAGCTGAAAAAGGCAGAGAGCTCCTTTTCTTGTTGGATCACACTATATTTTTAAAAATTAAAATAATACCCTCCCCCCACCAAAAAAAAAATTAACAAAGTGCTTAGTTCAGGTGGAGAAAACAATTACAACTGCCTAACCCTAATCAAATCGTCATTTTAGAAAGCTTTTTTTTTTCAAGATGGAAATGAGTGAGGTGTCCAAGACCAAAGGAGAGGGAAGCTTAAAGGCTGCCACCATCCCCCCACCCCACCCCCCTCCCAGGTCATTAAATTAAAAAATGTCTTCTATTTTCTACCTCACTATGCTGAGCTTACAGAAATCAACACTGTTAAATATTTAGCTTCACAAACTCTGCAAAAATGAGTTCTTGTGACCTGCAAAAGTCATATATATGTACACATAATACAATATCTTAACGATTGTATTTACAAAAACCTATTCACAGAAACAGACTGCAAAATTCTGATTCAGACTGCAGTATCCGGCCTTGGGTTTTCTGAAACTGATTTTCAAAAAGGATTATTGCTCTACCATATAGTCAAAGTGTGACATTATCCAGTCCTTTTGAGTGAGTTTACAGTTCCTGCCCGGTGGATTAGCTCGGACGGAGAACATGAGAGCTCGCCATAAGACCTCAAAAATATTGCATTAATCCATTACTTTGTAGATAAAGTGCATTCGGCTGCACATTAGCAAGTAAATATTAGCCACTATTGCAATTAAATACTGTGATTTCCATTTTCCTTTCTGCAAAGCCATTTGTCATCAGTCATAATGTGGAATATTAGATGCTAGTGGTAATCCTAAAAGAATTAGAGGGTATAACCATCAATGGTGGTGGGGAGTCCAAAACCCTTATCAAGTTGAGGACATGACCTCAAGCATTCTGATTAACTGGGGACAAGAGGTTAAGAGAGGACTGTTCACCAATGGAAAAAGGCCTCAAGGCTGGGAACTACATTCTGTGTCAGACATTGCTACTAGAGAAACCAGACTTTTCTATCCCACAACTTCTCCACTTTCTTTGGCCTGCCTACATTTAAAGGGCTTTGGATAGCAAGGCAGAAAGAAATAATAACACACAGGGAGTCTACCATATTTACTAAAATGCCATTGCCAGATTCACATCTCTAGAGGCAGAATGCCAAAAATATTTATGTCCATTGCTTAATATACCACAATATACAGAAAAACAGGTAGACAATATTTTAGCTCATGACCCAGATCTGTTCAAATGAAGTTACTTGGAATACCTTAATGAAGATTTGGGGGAACTAGGTCCTTTCCTTAAGTGAGATGTCACTAACAAACAATGTGTAACCCCTTATTTTACCTCCTGAAAATACTAGTGCAGAGACTTTTGTACAGTGCTTTTCAGCAGGAGGTTCTGGACTTCATGTGTCAGCAGTATTTCTGCAAATAATCACAAGGAAAAGGAGTTAAAACATCTGTTTTGCAAAATTCAAAGCAGCCATCTTTTTACTTGCAAATAGTAATATGTCCATTTATGTTCAATTTGTCCATATGATTCTTTGCTTTCACTGAATTCAGTTCATTGGTTCAAATCAATAAATAGAAGCCTAGCAAAAAAAAAAAAAAGAATATGCCCTCTGATACAAATCATCACCATATGAAAAGTAGAAGAACAGATTATCAAAAACAGGAGGGCCCTTGGCACAGATGTTTGAAGGTGGAATTGACTTAATATAGGCCCTAAGAGTAGACAGGTTCCAAAGACACCAAGTACAACTCTTTTATATTACAAGGAAAAATAATGACTAAAGGGAGGAAGTGACTGACCCACAGTCACAAACTAATTAGGGACAGAGCCAAGATGCCACTACACAGACTGCCTCTAGAATCATTCTAAAACAAGTTAACAACACCAGAGAGTGATTAAAGAAAAAGAATTAAGAATTCTGTACCTGATCAGGACCCATGGGCATCCCAGACATGGGCATAGAATTCATATTCATTTGTCCGATGTGGCCACTGCTACCATTCATGTGCATCATACTGTAGGGAGCAGGGCTACCCTGGGGGGTAAACTGCTGCTGTGGAAATGAACTGAAAAGCAGAAAGCACCATTACCTTCTATGTCCTTTTATTTAGTTGTGAACACTACACAGAAAAGAGAATGCAAAGAAGTCCCGGACAGTGAAGTCACTATCTCTGTACTTACAAAGAGAACATTTAAAGACAAATACCCAGAAAACCTGCTGAATCTTCACCTCCAGAAGAGCATTAATTTACCATGTCTATTAACCATATTTGCTTTCAAAACAGATACAGAAAACAGGTCCAAACACATCATTACAGCATTCTCTGAAGTTAAAAACACAAGGTCTCACATTTAGAGCTTTACCAGAGCAAATACCCTTAAGTGGAAAATACAAAGAGAGTATTTTGCTGAGACTCACAGCCTAAGTGTGAAAGATTTTTAAAGTCACCTAATATTACTGATGAAACACAACTTAATAAAACCTATGGTAGCTGAATGTGTTGGAGGTTCACTACTACACATATGGTGTTTACCTGTTCCTGGACAAGGTTCCTGATGGCCAGCCCTTCATTTCCGGGGACTGATACATTGGTGCAGTCTGAGGGTGCTGCATCATGGGGTTCTGGGAGGCACCAATTCTTGATGACATCATTGCACTGGGAGGACTAGCTACTCTGCTAAAGGCAGGATCTGACTGTTGGCTCATTCCTTATGAAGAAAAATAAAACAAATTACTGGTTTCGCTTGTAGGGTCTTTTTTTTAAAAAAAGCAAAAAAATTATTCAAATGTTAATCCATAAGATTACTGCAGTAATTCCTTTAAAGAACAGCATAGGCAAAGTTAGAAGAGAGAGGGGCTATGCTACAGCTCATCTATCCCTGTGTTGTGCAGATACTCTTGAGTCTCACAAGAACTATCATAAGTAACATACTAGTCACATTTTTTAAAACAAAATTAGCTTGATTTCCTTTCTAAACATTTAATATTACTGAATATACTTACATATGTAAAGAGACAATTTACTGCTTGAGACAAGTGGATATACCAGAGTATACTTTTCCTATTAGGTGAATATCAATATTCTTTCCCAAAAATTTTCTCATTCCCCCAACAGCTCCCACTCCCAGATAACTGAGCCTCCCTATACCCAAATGTTGATAAGAAGTAAATAATGTTCAAAAAGCACTCATTTACTGTCAGCAGGCAGGATTTAATAACAGTTTATACTTCTAACAGGTCTTACTAAAAGCTAAGCCTTCAGTAGTATGGAACTAATTCTGTTCCCTAAGGGTACAAAGGAAACAATTTTATATCTTTTTCTCAAAACTTAGGCTGAGGGAAGAAAAGATATGTAGTGAAAATATGTCAAGTAAACGTGGTAACAATCTGCCTAAAACCAATGGTGAAAAATATTGGTTTAGTTTTTGTTTCAATACTCTGAACCACGTTGAGGCAATCTACGATGTTCCTTTAAGGAAGACAAGTCTTCTTCTGTAGAATTTACCATAATTTGGTGGGTATGAAAACTGTTGTGGAGGAGCTTGTGGCATTGAGGTCCCAGTCAAAGCACCATCCATGCCGGCTGAAGCAGTCACATTAGGGGGAGGGCTGAAGGTCTGGGTCTGTTGCTGCTGCTGCTGCTGCATCATCATTGCCATCCGGTGCTGTCTGATGTGGTGACTAATCAGCTCTCTGCTGCGCTGGGCTACCATCTGGGCATTGAGAAAACCTTGCTGCTTAACCAGGAGAAAAATTAGAGATGTAGATGAAGAGCAAACTAAATTCATCCTGATCAAGAACCCAAAAGGCATTACAGATACAAATCATGTGGAGGGCAGGGATCCTGAGAGGGTTTTCAGTGGAATTGTACATGACAGTAAGCTAAGCAGAGAAAATCTGACCAAGATCTTCAAGTTCTTTGTGAACATTCTAAAATAGGCCATGAGAAGCTGTCAACTGTTTAAAGCAAAAGGAAAGTGTTTCCAAAGCAAAGGACCTAAAAGTTAATTCAGTGACATCATGGAACCTCACAGGCTGTCTCAGCAGGGTGCAATCAAACCTTTATTGTCAGTTTGCTCTAAGTCCTGCCACAATTTATATAAGGTATACAATAGGGGAAAAGTAAGTTTTAATACCTTCAAGCAACCATATAACAGAAAGTTTGGGGGTAGCAAACTCATTCCTTAAAAATAAAATATAGCATGGTATTTTCTCTGCAACTCCTTTTTTTGTATAATATGTACATGCTACCTCTCTCCATGTGGCAAAGGCTAAAGATAGGAAGAAATGACATTCCCTATCACTGTTCTCACTACTACTAATAAATGAGACTGGATAGATGAGTAGTCAAAGGATATTAACAAACAAGTTCTCAAAAGAATTAGAAACTAGTGACAACCACATAAAAGAATGTTCTAAATTCCTAATAAGAAAAGTACAACTCAAGTAATTTTAAGGTTTTGCCTCATACAACAAATTGGCAAAGCTTACAAAAGGTGGGAACAGTCAGTGTTGGAGGGATAATAGAAAAACAAGCACACTGAGACCTTGTTGGTGATCCTATTAACTAGTCCCACCACTTTGGAAAGCAATCTGCAATCATGTTAAAAAACTGACTAATTTCTTAACATAACCTTTGACCCAGACACATCACATAAGCATATACTTTAAGAACCTCAATGACAAAATGAAAGCACCAAATATTTGTATCAACATATCTACAGCATAACAAAGAACTATAAACCAAGTAGCTACCTATTCATTAGGGAATGCCTAAACAGATCATGATACATGAATATAATGGAATATTACTGTGACATAAGAAACTATGAATGTGATGAATACCAAGTAGTATGGAAAGACTTATATGAATTGATGGAAAATGATGTAGGCAGAAGAGGAAAGCTATGTACATTGATAGCAAAGTAAATGGAAAGATAGCAAGTGCTAATGAATGTTGCAAAATTATAATGACCCAGTTTGGCCCCAAATAAGATACCTAACCCGACTTTCTCTGCAGAAACAAGGGACTGTGTGTGTCAAACACTGTGTATAGCAACAGACTAGTTAAGGGATGGCTCTTGGAAGAAAATTAGTGGAAAGAAATCGTGGGGAAGTAAAGATGATATAAAAACAAAAGCTATCAAAACATTTAATTTTTTTTTATTAGATTAGCTAGTATTTCATTCAAAAGAACACTGGATCCTAAAAACAAAAACAACAACAAAAAACCAACAACAAGCCATATTCAATTATGCTAAACCAGGACTAATAATAACACAGGAGAAAAGAAGCAGCCCCAGAAGACAAATAGGAACAATGAGAGAAAGCTGCAAAAAGGGATGTTTCTGGATAAGATAAGGAAACAACTTAATGTATCTTCAAGTAGAAGAGGCTGGCTCAGAGGTACTGAGTTCCCTCCGTGCTGTTTGTCTTCAAAGTCTGCAGAGACCATCATGTATGGGATCCCAAAAGTCTTGGTGCAGCTTATAAGCATTAATAGCTTTAAACTGCATGAAGACTTTTGGGACATTCTGTATGTAAGCTGGAGTTATGTTATACAGGGGATTATTTTTACATTAAATGGCCTCCAAGGTTCCTTCCAACTCTGATCTTCAATAACAAAAGGATACAATGCATTTATTCAACAATTATTCACATGAGCTCCTTGAACTAAACAGATCAGGAGTCTTCTCACCTGAGAGTTTACTTGGGCCTGCATTACAGGCCTCATCACTGTAGCCCCACTAGCAGGAGGGGTTTCCATTTTCATTTCAAGGGCCTGACGACTCTGGTTCAGAAACTGGAGACAGAAAAACAGGTCAGAGTGCACACACAGAGTACTGAGAGACCAAAGGGAATATGCCTTCAAGACAGAAGTATTGAACAATGGAACAACATGCTCAGATCTTCTCCACTTCACTGGATAAACCACCAACTTGAAAGCTATAAACAAAACTTGCAAATACTTTAGGCTCAATTTATTTAAGTTTCAAAAGTCCTTGGTCAGCAGAAATGAAGCTTAAAATAGGAGAACCTTAGGAAAACAAATAAAAGATGAATGTGAAATTGTAACTTAAAGGGCATTATCAAAAAGTATCAGAAAAGATTTACTGAGGCAGATTATCTCTATGATTGTGATTTTGGAAATTTTGGAAACAGAAGCTGCATTAACTTTCTTAGGTTAACCTTTAATGCACTACTATTAATGGGACATTATTCCAGGTAACATTTAATAACAATAAGTTTTAAATGACACCCTACACAAGTGAATAAATTCCCAAAATGCTGACTATTGCCTGCCTAGGAGCATTCAGAGGAAGAAAATAAAGTTCTCTGGATTATGAAATTATAGACAAACTTAATTCAATTCAACAAACACAGAACATTCTTCCAGGTAACATTTGGTAACATTCAGTTACAATGTGTTCAAAAGATAATCTTCATGAGTGAACACAACTTTCCAAAATGCCCAATTGTCAGTGTGGAAGCAGTTAATGCACAGGAATATAGAGCTCTCTAGAATACAGATTTGCAAATCAATTCAATTTGATTCAGTTCAACAAGCACTTGTAATCACCTGGATGCATAAAACTCTGGTAGATGCTGCAAAAAGAAAGACAAAAACAAAAGTTACTGCCCCAAAGGAGCATTATATTCTCCTGGGAGCACAAGGACATACATATAAATACACTATAAGAAAAACTGAGAAAGAGAAAAATAAAATAAAACATTGCTAGAAGGAGACATCAGGGAAATCTTTATGGAGGGGGTGGTACCTGAGTTAAGCCTTGAAGGAAGACCAAGTTTGTTGGATGGATAGAAGGGAAGAAGGCTGAGAAGCTGAGAAGCAGAGAGGAGAAGGAAGTGCATTCTCAGCAATGGAAGATGGTTTGTATGAATGTAGATTTAAGAAAAAGGGAGTATCAAACATAACTGACATAAAAGGTAACATGATTAAAGGCAAGGAAGAAACATATCTTTGAGATCTATGGATGGATAAAGTTTAGGGACAGAGTGGATCACAGAAAATAAAATGGATAATTTTTGTATATAAAATTTAAACATTTTTGCATAAAAAACCCAATATAGTTAAAATTAAAAGAGAAATGGGTATAACCAGAAGGGAAAATCTTTGTAGAAAGTCTCTCTGAAAAACGTTTCATATCCAAGATATATAAGGAGCTGATTGAAATGTATAAGACTGAGAGCCATTCCCCAATAGATAAAGGGTCAAAGGCAATTTTCAAATGAAGAAATTTTATTATTATTTATCATTTACTATTCACTAAATTTTATATTTATTATATTCACATTAATTATAATTATTTATTATTTATTAAATTTTATTAAATTTAATAACTGAAAAGTTTATTCATTTATTTTTACATTTATTTTTAGTTTTCAACAATCACTTCCCTAAGCTTTTGAGATTTAAATTTTTCTCCTCCTTCCTCCTTACCCCCCTCACTAAGACGGCATGCAATCTGATATAGGCTCTACATATACATTCTTATCAAACATTTTCACATTAGTCATGTTGTAAGGAAGAATTAGAACCAACAGGAGAAACCACAAGAGAGAGGAAACAACACAAAACAGAATTTTAAAAAAGAGCAAATATTATGCTTCCATCTGTATTCAAACTCCATAGTTCTTTCTCTGGATGTGGACAGCATTTTCCATCACGAGACTTTTGGGGATCCTTGCATTGCTGAGAAGAGCTAAGTCTGTCAAAGTTAGTCATCACACAGAGTGGCTGTTACTGTGTATAGCATTCCCCTGGTTCTGCTCACTTCACTCAGCATTAGTCCATACAAGTCTTTCCAGGTTTTTCTGAAGTCCACCTGCTCATCATTTCTTATAGCACAATAGGATTCCATTACATTCATATACCACAACTGTTCAGCCATCCCCCAACTGATGAGCATCCCCTCAATTTCCAATTCTTTGCCACCATAAAAAGAGCTGCTATAAATATTTTTGTACATGTGGATCAAATCTCACTTCTGATATAATCATGCGGGTCCTTTTCTCATTTTTACGATCTCTTTTGTATACAGCCCTAGAAGTTCTATTGCTGGGGGAAAGGGAGCAAAAAACTTTTGATAAGAGATATGAAGGTGAGGAAAGAGTTGAGTGCTTAAGAGGAAGGTTGTTTTCCTCTGCATTTGAGGACAGCCAAAATGACATCACTATGTCAGAATCAATGTACAATGTGTCCAACTACAGCTGATCAGATCAGTACAAGCTCAGAAGGCTCTACCACAGGTCGGGCACAAACAGCCCATATGAACATTTGGGATGGAGATGTCTCTAAATTTGTACATCTCATGTTTCTTTTGAGCTACTGCAAAAAATGATAAGAAAGATCAAAAAAGATCTTTTTTTAACAGACTTCAGTCAATGCCTGAGAGGAGGGTGAAATAATCAAGTAATAAGAAAAAGTTTAGAGAAGATGCCCATCAATTGGGGAATGGCTGAACGCGTCGTGGTATATGAATGTAATGGAATACTATTGTTCTATAAGAAATGATGAACAGGCTGACTTCAGAAAAACCTGGGAAGACTTATATGGTCTGATGCTGAGTGAAGTGAGCAGAACCCAGAGGACTTTGTATACAATAGCAGCCACGTTATACAATGACTAAGAATGTTAAACTGAACCCTTCTCAGCATTATGAGGATCTAAGGCCTCTCCAGAGGCCTCGTGATGGAAAATGCTGTCCACATCCAAAGAAAGAACTATGAAGTCGAATCGCTCTCACTTATTTTTACCTTAAGTTGAATTTTGTTTCATCTTTCTGATGGTTCCTCCTATTGGTTTTAATTTTTACTTACAACTTCACTAATGTGAAAATATGTTTAATGGGTATGTAAATGTAAAGCCTATGTCAGATTGTGCGCCGTCTTGGGGGGGGGAGAAAAAGGGAGAAAAAATTTTCAACTCAAAAGCATATGGAAAAAAAAATTAAAAAAAAAAGTTCACTGTTTAACAACAGGGGCCAACTTGAGATTAAATTAATTTGTAATGAACCAGTTGTCAGATATATAAGCAAATAAGGAAGACAGAAGATAGATTAACAGAGAAGCCAGATGGAGATGATGATGTCAGGGTGAGAACTGCAGGGGGTGAATGGTGGTGGACCAGGGGTTAAAAGGATGCAAAGATGGAGAAAAGTATAAACCTGAACCGGTGAACTATTAGATCATGTTTGCAAGAAGAAAATAAAGGCAGATTAGTAGTGGTAGAGCTGAAGAACAAAGAGAGATAGCTGGGACTGGATGTTTCAGTAAAGATAAAGAATAGACTTAGGAAGAGTAAAGCATAAAAACAGAGGGAAAAACAGGAGATTATGATCAGCAAGAAGAGAAGCGTAGAGTTCAAGATCATAAGACACAATAGGAATTGGTCAAGTAAGATCTAAGGTATGGTCATTCCTATATGTAGATGAAGTAGAGTGAAGGTATAGTTTTTGGGAGTTGAGATGGTTGATGAACTGTGGTGTCAGGTTGTCAGAATGGTCACCATTGTGTACACTGGAGCCCCCCAAAATATGAACAGAAGATCTGGATTAGAAAGGACAATGAATCCACTATCAAACTCCTTAAGAAATGAAAGTCTAAAGTCTGCATCGAAACTATAACCACTAACTGAGACTAAGTGACCTAGAGCCCAACAGAACACAGCACCAAGAATATTGTAATGAAAGAAGCACAGGACTCAATATCAAAAGATCCAAGTTCAATATCAACTCTGCCTTTTAATGCTTGTGACATAGTCATTTAAACTCTCTGGGCCCAAGATCATTCATCCATAAAAAGTTAATTAGATGGGTTTCTAATGACCTTTCCAGTTCTAAATCCTAGGATCTAACTAACTGATCTACTTACATAAACACCTATTAAACAGACACATGAATAGACTTAAGAGTTCATTAAAACTGCCACCATGGGTTTGTCTTTCTCAGTCATTTTGTTGTGCATTTCAGAGTCAGTTTTAGAGCAGGAAGGAATCTTAAAGAATAGTTAACCCAAATCTCTCACTTTGCAAAGGAGAAAACTGAGTAATCCAGAGTTCAAGCAACTTGGCTCTTAGGCAAAAGCAGCAAACACAAAATACGCACTCAGGATCCCCAACTTCAGGGTACTTCCCGCTGTACTACAAAAGCCTTACAGACTAGGAGATAATGGGGCTAAAGGAACTAAATGTTTACTTTTAGAGTATCAAAATTAAACTAAGATGTTAATATAGTGAATTTATAAAATGGGGAGAGATCCTGATCTAATATGAAACACTGGACTTGGAGCTAAGAGTCCATTTTAAGTCTCAACTTCAGTTCCCGCATCTGTAAAACAGGAATCATTCTTCTACTAAATTTACAAACAGAAGCAGCTAGGTGGCACAGTGGATAGAGCACTGGGCCCTACAGTCAGGAGGACCCAAGTTTAAATCCAGCCTCAGACACTTGACACTTCTTAGCTATGTGACCCTGGGCAAGTCACTTAACCCCGACTGCCTCATCAAGAAAAAAAAAAAAAAAAGGAACTCTGAATAATTTTCCATTCAGACCATCGCCTCTGCGTTCTGCCCACTGGTAACCTGGATTCAACTCTTGGGTCTCTCCTATCTTAGCAGGTCCAGGTCTCCACAACCATTCACAGCCTGCACTGCAGGCATGTCCCACCACCTCCTGACTTTCCAGGTCCCCTTTATATGTGTCTTCACTCAACAGGAGGTAAACACATCTTAAGGGCAAGGAATATACACAATTTGTGGCACATAATTAGCATTTACTTAGCATAATCACCATTTACTTACATCCCATTCAAATTATATGAAAGAATCAAAATATTGATTTCTCGCTCCCATGAAGACAGGATTCTCTCACCCCACCCCCACCTCTGTGACTTTGCCCACCATCAACACATCCACATACCTGCTGGCCCTGGAGTCTCTGCTGGAGTTGCATTCTAAGCTGTTTTGGTGTATTTGTTCGGGGTCTCATCATGTTAGCTCTGGGATGCATTCCCTGTAGTGGAAAGCTACCCTGCTGGCTCATTTGATTCATCATTGAATTATACGGTTGCTGTTGTCCCTGAAGATTACTGAAACCTCCTTGTATTACTGCAGATTGGGCTTGATAGGATTGTCCATATAGAGCAGACTTTTGTTCAATCATCACTGCAGATTCTTGACTTTGGAAAGACTCCTGCTTAGCTTCCAAAGCTTGTCCCTTTAACAGCAAATAAATAAATAAATGAATATCAATACATCATTTAAAATATCAATTATGAGAGGGAACACATCTTAAAGAGATTAGGCATTTAGGTATTAGTTTTAAAATGCCAGCATGAAATTCCAAAAACAAAATAATACTTGTCACTATATTGTCTAAAATAATAGTTTCTATAGTAAGTCTTGCTTTAAGTTTTCATTGCAGTTCTGTGAACAAAGATCTAAAATATACTCATTAGTCAAGTGAATAATAGTTAATTAATTTCTCAACCAAGTGATAAGAAACTAATTGGGAAGAAAAGGACTTCTAAGACTACAAATTCTTATTGTCAGCTAACAATAATCCAAAGGATTCAAAGGTCACTTGCCATTAAAATAAACTATAGCAAATAAAGAGTAAAGGACTCATATTAAAATATATATATATGTATACACACACACACACACACACACACACACACACACACACATATATACACACATCTATATTTATAGCAGTTATTTTTGTGGCAGCAAAGAACTGGAAACTGAAGTGGTGCCCATCAACTGGGGAATGGCTGAACAAGTAATGGTATATGAATACAATGGAATATTATTGTGCTATAAGAAATGAAAATGATGGTTTCATCACCTGGGAAGATGTATATGAACTGATGATGAGAGAAGTGAGCAGAACCAGGAGAGCAATTTGTACAATAAAAACAATGCTGTAAAGATAATCAACTTTAAAAGATTTAGGAACTGATCCTCAAAATGTTCAGCTCCACACGGGCTCGAATAACTCTAGAGGACTTATGATGAAACAAGCTACCCAAACCTGGACAGAGAAATGATAGATTCAGGATACAAACTGAGATTTTTATTTGGATGTGGCTAGTATGGGAATTTGTTTTGCTTAACTATACACGCCTGTAACATAAGTTTTGTTTTTCTTGCTTTGTCTCACTGGGGGGTAGAGGTGGGAAGGAGAGGAGGCAGATCTCCATCTGAAAAAGAATAAATTTTTTTAAAAATGAACTGTAGGACAATTACTCTGGACAACAGATATAGCACTGAAAATATAAAAACCAAACCATATTTTAAATAAGTGAATAAAAAATACTTAAGTGCTGGCCATGTGCAAAGCACTGTGCTAAGCTGTTGTTTCATCCACCCATTCTGCCAGAAGAAGTCTTCGCGTGCTTAGGGGAGACATCCCCCTAACTCACCAACAGGTGTGAGGCCTGTTGGTTCCCCTTAACCTGGTTTAGCCGTCTGCCAAGATGGGTTTACTGGGGTGCGGCCACTGCGCATGCTATAGCTTCTACAGGTGCAGGTGAGAATTGGGTCACAGGTGAACACCAAAGGTGGACTAGCAGCGCCGAAAAGGGCTCAGCAAGCCTTCACACCAGACGTGCCAGTCCTCCCTCAAGAACCCGTACACCCCTCTGTGCTAAGCAGTAGGGATATAAATAGACAAGCAGAAAGTCTCTCACTGAGCTCATGTTCTAATGTAGGAGATTACACACATAAGAGGTTTCAGCTGGAAGACAAATGGAGAGATTCCATAGTACTTAAGGTACAGAGGCAAAGCAGATGGTAATGTCCTTTCCACTGATAAAATCATCTAAGTTTCGAGACGCTGAACCATCTGACAGTGCCAAGGATTTGGTGGCGAGAACTTTCTCTGACCAGTCTTCAGGAGCTGCTGTTGCCAAGAAAGATGTGGAGTTTTCACTATTTAAAAGAAGCAGAATAACCTTTGATCCCACTAAGGAACATCAAGTCCGAGGAGGTCAAAGAAAGAAAGGTCCCGTATATACCCGTATATATAGAATGCATAACCAAATCTCATGGCAGCACTTTTTGTGATAGCAAAAGGAAACAAGGTGGGCACTCACTGACTAGGGAATGGCCGAACAAACTATGGTATACAAACGTAATGAAATACTTCTGCATCGTAAGAAATGGAAAACAATAAGGAAATCAGAAGAACCCAAGAAGATTTTTATGAACTGATACAAAGGAGGGTCAACAGAACCAAGAGAACAGTATGCCCAGTGACAATAACACCAATATAATACCCTTAACTAAAAACTGAGCGCAACACTAAAAGCAATCCAAACTCAGATTAACTGCAGTGACCAATCAGGTCATGAACAACAGAGATAAAACACATTTCCTCGCTCTCAGGAGAGAGGCGTGGTACAAGACGAAAGGAATATTGCATAGACTGCCCTTCTATCTGATTAGTTAAGTTTTATTAAACTCTTATCATTTGTGATGTGAGAGAGCTCAATGGAGGAGGGGGCTGAATAATAGCAAATATATGGAATGTTAAAAATAAAATATTAAAGAATGATTAAGTGTCTTCCTTTGCAAAGCTGAGAATCCATCCATAATGCAAAACAGCCACTAATAATTTTTCTGTTTCACAAATCTGGAGTTTTGTATAACTGCTTAAAGGAAAAGAATGAAAAATAATAGAGGAGTGGGGGAGATGCACAAGGACAGCCATGGCAGATTTACCTTATTAGTTTCACTTTGTGGAAGCTGATAAAAAAATTAACTTGCATTCTACTACCAGGCAGCTGGTACTATAGTAGATTATTACATGTCTAGGATCAAAAACTCCTTGATAGCAAATTAATACAAATATAGACAACAGTGGTCAAAGATTTTCATGTAATTTGAATCATGAAACACTATTAAGTCATACTGCTAAGATTATGAACATTAATGACTAAGATAAACTAAATATAGAATCAAAAGATATGACCTTGAGTTTTGTCATTTATAAAATGAAATTATCCTCTCAAGTCCTGAACAAGTCAAACATTCTTGAAAACTAGTTTTACTGAGTCATAATTATTAAATTATAAATAATTCTTTTGTTACCCATTAGGATTCTAAGAGTAATATTGTAGTTTTACAAATTTTTTTCCATTTGCAAAATACTAAAATATGAAAAGAGATGTATATCCATTAGTCAGGTCAATATTTCTTACTTGATTTACAAGATCAGGGATTCCCAGAGCTTTATCAATTTCTTCAAGTCCCATGACATCTGTATTACTCAACAGAGTATGTAACTGATCCAAAAGAGCTCTTTCATCACTCTGACCTTCTATGTTAGAAGGAGGACACAAGAGATCATCTAGGGAATTCCTAACAAGGGCTCTAAAAAAAAAAGGCAAAATTCAAAACATTTGATATTATAATGACAATTTCAGACACTTCTAAATAAAGTACGTTTGTTGAATGAAGTCTACCCACGCTATTGACACAACTATTTGATAATCCTCTAAAAGGCACCACCATATAAGAACAGACCTACTGGATAAAGTCAGAAGACCTCAGCTCTGATCCTAACTCTGATACCTCCTAGCCTCTTGACCTTGGTCAACCCTTCCCTGTAAAATGGAACTAATACTTCCTGTACCACTCCAAGTGCATCTGACCTTATCCTTCTAAGATACGGTCACTAGAATGATCATATATACATATGAAAACTGCTAGTATGCTCAATTTGATTTAATAGATATGCCAAAAGAACCCTAATTATTGTGATAGTTCCTTGGGACAAAAAGACAAAAGCCAAAGTGTCCTTGCCTTTACGCTCTATTAGTGGTATACAACATTTACAGAAATAACCTACAGTATACAGAAGATTATGGCAGTGGTAGCAGGAAGACAGGATCAGAGACAGTTTCATGGAGAAAATGGCACGTAAGCCAAACGGGCAAGAACTTACTGTCTTTTGAGAGTGCTTGTGCGTATCTGCCATAGAGAAAGGAGACAGTTCAATTCAGGGAATAGCTTATGGGCCAGTTGAGCTGAAATATAGAGGGGAACAGTAGGAAATAAGGTTGGAAAGGTAGGTGGGAGCCAGAATGTGGAAGGCTTTAAGAGCCAGGCTAAGAGAGCCACTGAAGGTTGTTCAGTAACATGGTCAGACCTTAGGAAGATTATTTTGATAACCAGATGAAAGATGGCTTGATTAGGGTTGGACGGATTGCATGGAAACAAAGAAACTAATTAGGAGGAATACAGTAGTCCAGATAAGAAGTAGTGAGGAAATACATTGTTGGTAGCTTATCAATTGGTCCAATCATTTTTCAAAAGCAATTTGGAAGGTATATATCTATATTTTTTTAAGCGATTAAAGACTTTGCCGAAACCTGCCAATATGGCCACATCAATGTAAAAACCCTGAAGTGTGCTATATGGAATAGTCAATAGAATTGGCTTCAAAGGCAGGAAGAGTTAGGTTCAAGATCAGCTTCTGACACACAGGCTGTCTGACCCTGGGCCAATCACATAACCTATTAAAGCCCTAAGCAATTAAGACTGTAAGTTGCAGAAAGGATGCCAAATTACACTGGAATAAATAAAAACATGATCTTAACCTCAATCCATAATCATTTTGGAACTGAGAAGAGAGGATATCATGTTCAACAATATACAAAAAGTTTTTGAGCATAAAATTTGTGTAAAGAAACCAGAGTAATCTCTCACCTACCATCAAAAGATAAGCTACTTCAAATAAATAAGTTTCCCAGATAACTTTATAGACAGAAATCTATCATACTTTTTTATCTGTGGAAACATAGTAAACTATTAGGCATCAATTATAGTGATACCCTTAAAGAACATTTAAAATAGATGTCTATTTGTCCTTATATTAAGTGATGCCAGAATGTTTTGGCTTAATTTTTTTTTTCCTTCTATCTCCTCCCTTCACTGTGAACACTTCTTTTTAGTGCTGCAAATGTATTCTCCAAGTTTCTAATCTGCTTTCTTATTCTTTCCACACAATGGGCTGAGTAACAGTTTAAAAATATTTGAACTCTCCCAGCCAAGTATTTCTTGGGATCTATTATATGTAGGACCATTTTTCCTTTACTTCAGGTGATACTACTATGCTTGTAATGGATAAAAATACTGATAGTCTCATGTACAGATAGTTGTAGTTACTATATTTGTACATATGATCTAACTCGAACTACTCCCTTACAAATTTGGTTACGACTCTTTCCTAAAAGAATAAACACACTGACATCATCTATTTGAATCCCTACCTATTTTGTGTCCCACGAGACCCCTGATCCATGGATAACATATTATCAGGCCAAGATCCAGGTTGATTAGAAGGTCCTGTCTGGCCGTAGGCATTTACTCCCATGCCCATAGGAATCTCACCAGGCCCTGGGAAATAAAAATCAGGATATATTTAGAAATATACAAAAGTATCCCTGAAAAATGTTAGATAGCAATTACAAATACATATTTTACTTTTTTTTTTTTGAGAAGAAAACTTACTCATATGAATCATCTGCTGCTGCAGCATTGGCCTTGTACCAGGTATACTATTGGACCTAACAGGAAGTCCAGGCAAAGTACCACCCATTGCAGGTCTGGGTAAAGAATTGCTAAAGTCAGTTCCTGGCCTCACCAATGAACCTGCATTTTGTTCCATTCTGCTAACTTTAGAATTTGGCAAACCCCACTCTCCTGAGGGATGATGGTTCATAGTCATATTTCTATTTGGTCCACCTAGATGGAAAAAGAAAGGATTAGTTTTTCACCACATTTTGTAATACTGGAATTTTTCTTTTACATAAATAAACTCAGTTACATGAAATAATGGCCCAAAAGAAACTCTCCATGTAGTAAGCTGCTGATGGTACCACAAACGGCATTCTGTCTTACTACTTCTGAGGGCCAAAGCCAAGTAATAAAATTTAAAATAATTTGATCACCATTAATATAGCAAATAAATGTATAAATGTATTCTGTAGTCCATTATTCCAGTCTAGTGATTAAAAATTAGTAAAGTTATTAATAAAAACTTTGAACTAAAAGAATTCGAACACATTAAGTGAAACCCTGAGGCAGGTAAATTGTGAGATTTGGATGGATTCAATATCATAATAATTTTTACTTAAGATAAAAACTTAACTTTATGCCAACATGGAAGAATGGTGGAGTTGGAGTCAGAAATGTTCCAATCTTGCCTCAGATTTATTGCTAGCTGTGTGACCCTGGGCAAATAAATGACCTCTATCAGCCTCAGTTTGCTCATCAGCAAAATGAGAGAAGTGGGCTCCTGGTTCTCTAAAGTCCCTTCTCAATCTAAACCAAAGATCCTATACTCCACTTTACAAAACATAATTAAATGAGGGGGCTAAGGGAGAACACATCCCCCACCTAGAGAGAAAGTATGGAGGGAAGGAGTGGAAAGAAAAAAAAAACTACTGTCTCTTAGGAACGTTTCACATAGGTCCTTAAAAGGTTGTTTTCCAAAATGCATTACAATAACTCCCAAATAAAACAACATACCCATGTTAGAGCCAAAATTCTCCTGCGTATCCAACATCCTTGTATTCCCGCTTACCACAGGCTGCTTTGGTAACATGGGAAATGCATTAATATTTCTTACTGGAGGGCTTGAACCAACAGGTATAGGGCTATCCAAAGACACAGCTCGATTAAAAGGAGGACGAGCAGATGGCAGAGACTGTGGGCTTCTCAAACCTCAAAAGGAACCAAAAATGTATTTATAAATAACACTGTATCTACCTCAAAATAGCTAGACATGAAATAGATGGCTCCTGTATTTCCGCCAATACCTACACCCTGCCCCTCAAATGCTAAAATACACAGTTTTTCCTTTACATGATAAACATCAGAAGGAGACATAATCCATATTGAAAATAAACTAGCATTACAATCATCATGGATGAAGAATTTCACAGTGGAGCAGGTGAGTGCTGCCCTACGAGGCACAATTTTATATATGAGCCTGTTTCACACTGCTCCTTGTTCTAATCTCCAGATTGTGAGTCAACCTTCCTCAAGCCCCATGATATTTTTTCCTTTATATGTAGTTATACTAAATGGCTCATGAATCAAGACATAAAGATCCTTTTTTATGACTCGAGGCTGAAGTGTAAAAATGTTCATTAAATGTTTTATTTTGCTTTTATTATTCTAAGTGCTCATTTTAGTCAAAGAATAAAGTTCTTTAAAATGCATACAGCATCTTTCTAGACAAAGGAATTAATGGAAGTAACAAGACTGAGAACTTTGAAACATCCAAAACAACAGCAAAAGAAGCAATCAGATTTATACATTTCAAAACTGAAGCTATGAAGACACCAGACATTTATGATAGTCCTACCTGAAAATGAAAAGAATGGGAAAAAAATGTAGCTTTTAAAATTTATTTTTTAATTCTGATTTAAATTTCATTTTTAATCTACATGTATGTAATCTATGTATGTGTCCAAATAGGTATTATTCTTCAAAGTCATTACCCTAGGAATATACTAAGCATTGATTTTAGCATAGTTCAAATGTTTAAATTACCTATGTAAGTCAATTTATGGGCTATGGAACACAGTGAAGGTTATGTTATCATGTCACGTTTCCTTAAATTTAAACTGCTATAGCCTACCATTATCACCTATTTTAAAAATCATATTTAGCAGTTAGAAAATTGTATTAGATTCAGTAAATTTTTCAGGATACTTTATTGTAAACTAGGTCATTTTCAATTAAAAAGAAGAATTTGAATGAAAGTCAAATTCAAGCCACAGCAGTAAAGGCTACACTAGATCTGAAATCAGTTTTTCCAAATGCACTTTTTTAAAACGGCATAGAAATTCATTCACAGTAATCAGCTGACCAGTCCTGTCATTCCTACATTTGTTTCATCTCTCATATACTCCCTCTTCACTCTGCCTTCTTGACACTGCCTCCATGCTGATGCAGACCTCATTATTCCCTCATCCTTGGACTATTGCAATGGCCTGCTGGTTGCTCTCCCTGCCAAGAGTTTCCCTCCACTGCAATCCAAAGCTCCATTCTATTGTCAAATTGATCTTCCTTAAATATAGGTCTGACCAGATCACCCCCCATTCAATCAACCTCAGTGGCTCTCCCTGTTACCATCAGGATCAAACAGAAAATCCTATGTTCAGCTTTTAAAGGACTTCATAACCTAGCCCTTTCCAGTACTTCCAGTCCTCTTATAACTCTTTCTCCTCCACATGCTACGCAATCCAGTGACACTGGCTTCCCTCCTGGTTATTCCTCAAACTATGACTCTGGGCATTTTCACAGGCTTCCCACATACCCGGAACTCTCTCCTTTGTCATCTCTGTCCCCTAGCTTACCTGGCTTCTTTGAAATCTCAGCTAAAGGCCCACTTTCTGCAAGAAACCTCCATATTTCTTAATGCCTTCCCTAGGAGATCACTCCCCAATGTTTCCACTTATCTTGTTTGTATGGTTTTTTTCCATATCTCCCCTATGAACTCCTTGAGCACAGGGACTGATCCTAGTGCCTTCCTTTACATCTCCAGCACTTAGCACAATGTTGGGTACATAGTGGGTACTTTAAAAATGCTAGTTAAATTTGACTCAACTTGAAAGCTGTCTGTAATTTATGATCTTCCGGCTTAACAATACATCTAGAAATGCACTGTAGATCATCAGAAATTGACATTAAAAGGTATGATTTAATAAATGGGTGCCAGAAACAACTGAAATAGTCAAAAGACATAAGTAAAATTCTCTGCCGTTAATTTCTCCAGCAAGCCATTGTCATTCACTCATTTTGTTGTTCAGTGGTTTTCAGTCATATCTGATTTGTTATGATCTCAGTTGTATTCTTTTGGGAAAGATACTGCAGTGGTTTTCTATTTCCTTATCTAGCTTATTTTACAGATGAGGAAACTGAGGTCAACAGGACTAAGTGACTTGCCCAGCATCACACAGCTAGTAAGTGTCTGAGGTCACATTTGAACTCAAGTCTTCCTGACTCCAGACCTAGTGCTCTATCCACCGTGCCACCTAACTGCACCATTCACTTATAGACCCTCCAAAATCTAACAGTGAAATGCCACCTGTAACATTTCCTTCTCAACTGGAAGGCGGGGGGGGGGGGAGTTCAAGCAGGATAAGGTACAGAGATTGCGACAAGACATGTGTTATATTGTTAATTTTCTAGCAAAACTACTGCTAAAGGCTAGCAGGGCCCAGTGGTCAGAGAGTGGGCCTTAGAATTAGGAAAACACTTCCTGGCTCTGGACAAGTAATTTTAATTTCTCTATTCCCCAAGTCATTCTCTAAGACTGTAAATTCAAGAGTAGATTCTATCTGTATCGGTAGGGAGGAATTTTTTAAAAATCTTCAAAACCTATTAATGAATTTTTGTTTCTGAATGTTATAACATTTCACGATACCTATATAAAAGTGAAATTGGCCTTTTTCTTCATAGTATCAAGTCAATTAACAAGCATTAATTAAGTGCCTAATACAAATCAGTTAGTGTGCTACGTGCAACATCAATTACAAAGAAATAATTCCTACATAGAAGGAGCTTACATTCAAACAGGAATTGAACTATACCTGAATATGCACCCAAAAGGGAAGAGTGGTATAACTGGTTGTGTTAGAACTAACAAAAATCACTAATACGGTGCATCTATATGCAGCTCCATTCTAGCATGAAGAAAGTGCCATTAAATATGTATTTTTCATATTAAAAAAATTATAGACAAGTGAAAATTATGGATGAAATGGAAGGAAAACATTTTATCAACTGTTCCCATGGGTGACAGATGGATACAAAAGGATATACAAGGTTTAAGTGAAATATAATCACATTTAACAATACAATTGTAAGCAAAAAAGAAAAGCTTAACACATATTAGAATCTAAAGATAAGCAGATCCCGAGGGGGCAGCTAGGTGGCGCAGTGGATAGAGCACTGGCCCTGGATTCAGTAGGACCTGAGTCCAAATCCAACCTCAGACACATAACACTTACTAGTTGTGTGAGCCTGGGCAAGTCACTTAACCCCCACTGCCCAATAAAAAAACCCCACAAAAACAAAAACAAAAAAAGATAAGCAGATCCCAAATCTGTTATGGTGAATATCTATTTTGTAGTAGTGCATTATGTTCTCTCCACTGTCACACAAGAGAAAATCCAGTTTTCAACAGAAGTATGGATCAAAAGAATTTTAAAAGGCACATAACTGGGGAAAACTGGTAGATAGAAAAATAAAAAAGCTAAAAGCTTAAACTGCAAAGCAGAAGCATCTGCATATAATGACTGAAGGGCTGCTTTGTCTTAAAATGCACTCTAACATAAGATCCTTTGTAGGCCTGATCTGAGTCTTTATTGTTTTAATGCCCTATGAATGAAGCAGATGCATTACATATAGGCCTTTAAATGAATGTCTGTCATGGAGGTATGAGTTTACCTCTTGGTTCTAGGCAGCATCCCATAAATATAGCAGACATAATCAGTCCATATATTCCTAGTCACTATTTCACAATGTTCAGATTTAGAAGACCAAAGTTTTATTTTTAAAAAAATTAAGACTTACCTAGAGGGGTATTTCCTTGAAACATCTGTTGCTTATTTGCCAGGTTATTACCATTTGTGGACATGGCATTGTTATAAAAGTCAGAACTTGTCAGGTCACCAAGAATAGCATCTAAATTATCCAAGTCTCCACTCACCTAAAGATCAATTTTTACAAATAGGTTGAATGTATGTCTGGATATCTGTACCCACATATAGGTGTATGTGTAGTAAGAAACAAATTGGATGATGAAGAATAAAATGGAACAAAAATCTGAAAATACTGGTAAGCATAAATGTGTGGCACTTATAAGAAGTAAAATAATTAATAATAAATATTTCTGAAAACATCTTTATCTAAATGAGGGCTATAAACATGAAGGTATATACATATATCTATAAACTCAAGCTAAGTATATATGTTATGGCAAATGTTCAGTAGCTAATAATTTATGTTCAGTGTAAACCAAAAATTTTTTCCCTTCAAAATGAGATCGATTTACCCTGCTGTGACAATCAGAGAACCAAAGATATGTTCACATCTGAAAGGTATTTGGTCCCGGTGTTAGGGCTTATACTTGACATCAGAGAGACTCTCACAGCAGTGCTGCACATCGTTATCACCACCAGATAAAGAATAAGCACACACTATTTAAAACTATGCCATAAATAATGATCAAAAACTATTATAAATACATAATAATATGTATGTAATTTAACTTCTAGATGGCAATCTGTATCTTGATTTTTGTGTTTCTCTAACCCGCTTTACCATGCCCTCAGTTACCTAGAATTTTCATTTGGAAAATAAGCATGTAGATGAGATTTTCCACTTCTACCTTCAAACCATGTATATCAACAAACTCAGCTAAGATTACATGACATCATGCATTATTTCCTGTTTTCAAACAACATGATTCAATTTAAGTATAATTTTTATCTTACAAATTTAGATATAAGATAAAATCACAGCCTGTTAAGAGTCATAAAGGATCTTACAAATACAGTCTTGCCCACTCATTTTACAAATGAGTAAACAGACATTCATACACAGAGGGAAAGAGAGATGCCCTTCTTTGGTCATACAGCTAGTTAGATGAGCATTTGTTTAATTGTAACAGTCAACTGAATTTTAAATTTCTTCATTAAGTTACAATTGCAAGATCATGGAATAATAAAATACTGAACTTGGAGTCAAGAAGATCCAGGTTCAAATATGCCTCTCACACTGTGAGTAGGTCACAACTTTTCTGAGCCTCAGTTTCCTCATCTATAAAATGGGGGTAATGATATTATCTATATCACAGCTATTGTTTGGCTCAAATGAGATTATCCTTCTAAAGGTTTTTGCAAATTTTAAAGCTTACATGTTTCGTAGTAGTAGTAGTAGTAGTAGTAGTAGTAGTAGTAGTAGTAGTAGTAGTAGTAGTAGTAGTATATAGTTATTACTATTATTGTTTTTGCTGTTGTTATTAATTATATTTCCTAGTTTTCTATCCATGCTTAATATAGGATAGAAGTAACAGAAAACAAATGAGTGAAGTTCTTAAACTACTAAATATGTTACCTCTTCATTTTGTTCAGTCTTAACTTTAATCTCTTTTTCTTGATTTGAAGTAGGAATAGAAGAGGTGCCGCACTGCCCCATTTTGTTATCTACACCTTCCACTTTAGGTTTTATGTCTTTAGAAAGAGAATCATTAGGATCATCCCTATCAAGCAGATATCGAAGAAGTGCATTGTTTTCCTTCTTCTTGGGACTTAGCTGCTCCTGCTTAACTATTCCTTCACTAGAAGCTACACTACTCGTGTCTTTCCCAGTAGCTTCGGCTGTAATCTTGGCTACTTCAGCAGGAGAATTCCCATTCTGCAGCAATTTGTGCAAAATTCTGTGCTTCTCTTGCAGCAGGGAGCCATGCATGTTTGATGTGGAAGAAACTCCTCCAGATGTAGAAGAGGAGACTCCAGAAGGGCTAGTGACACTGGCAGCAGAATCTTTACATCCTGGATCTAATGGAGAATTTGTCAGAGTGGAATGTCCCCGGTCGTCCGAAGAGCATGTTAGTAACTGAAGTAGTTTTTTATGGCCTTTGCCTTCAGGTGGTCCCCTCTGATTCTCTGGCCCTTCGACACCAGTTTCTTTACTGTCTTTATCACTGGAGTGGTCCCTGCTATTGGCTTGGCATATGGAACTTTCCACCTGACTCTGTTCACAATATATGCCAGCGGGACTCTTAGAATCCTGGCTGCCTATTTTACTTTGTTGATTTATGTTCATATTTGGAGAATTATCCAACTTGGGGCCCGGTGAAGAAAGCGTAGACAAAAGAGAAGTCCCCACACCCTCACTGATGGCTTGCAGGGCACTGAGAGAGCTACTGGAGAAACTGTTCCCACCAGTGTTGCTAGCAGACCCCATTGGAGAATGCATACCTATCAAGGAAGGAAGCCAAAAGAGCTAGGTGAGTGATCAATCAATCGACAAACATTTCTTAAATATTCATTATATATCAGAGATACAAAGTGCTAAGGGCTGGGGATACAAAGACTAAAATCAAACAATTCTTGTCCTCAAGAAGCTTACATTCTACGGAGGGAGACAACATAGACGTATATAAACGTAGACAAAATAAACATGAAGTAATGAAAGGAAAGGACAGCACTACCAGGAAAGGCTTCATGTAGAAGGTGGTTCTTAGGCTGAGTTTTCAAGGAAACAAGGAGAAAACTCTGAGAAGTAAAGGCATAGATTCCTGGCCTGGGGGACAGTGAACATTCAGGAGACAGAAAAGCAGCATCCTGGGTAAGGAACTGCAAAAAGGCCAGTTTGGCTGGATCACAGAGTGTGGGAAAGAAAGTAATAGATAAGAAGGCTAAAAAAACTTCACCACCACTACTTTTTGGTGTTGTTCAGTCATTTTCAGTTGTGACCAACTCTTGGCAAAGATATTGGAGTGGTTGGCAATTTCCTTCTCCAGCTCATTTTACAGATGAGGAAACTGAGGCAAACAGGGTAAAAGGGTAAAAGTCAGTCTGGGATCAGGGACTTTAAATGACAACAAAGGAATCGGCGTTTTATCCTTATAGTCAAAAATGGAAGGGGAACAAAAAAGGGAGCCAACGGAGTTTAGTGTAGGGGAACAATACTAGCAAAAGTACTTTGGCAGTGATCTGAAGGATGAATGGTAGAGAGGGGAGGCTCACAGCTGGCAGACAAATTAAGAGGCTACTACAATAGTGCATACAAGAGATAACTAGGGCCCCAACTAGGTGAATATGTGAGTAGAGATAAGGGGCCAGATGCACAAGATGTTGTAGAAATAGGAACAACATGGTAACAGAATGGATATGGGAGATCCACTGGGAGGATGCATCTTATTAGGACTTTAATTTCTCAAAGATAATGGAGCACGGAAATAATGAACCACACGACAAATTACATACGTAAATATGACCTTTAAAAAAAAGTCTCCAGGGCAGCTAAGTGGCACAGTTGACAGAGCACCAGCCCTGGAGTCAGGAGGACCTGAGTTCAAATCCAGCCTCAGACGCATAACACTCACTAGCTGTGTGACTCTGGACAAGTCACTTAACTCCAATTGCCACACACACACCACACACACACACACACACACACGTCTCCCAAAAACCGACAGCTAAGACAATATTGGGGTACAAAGGAAACATTCTAAGGCCATGCCAAAGAAGTACAAGACCTGGCCAGACCTAACACACTGGGACATCTCCTATGTATGGGTATAACAACAAGACTGCATGCCTTTTGTCTAAAAATGATACTAGATTGCACTTTGCTTAGGTGTGAAGGAGTCATTCTCTGAAAACTGGTTCCCATGAAATGTAAGCTAAAGCCACACATATTTTAGTCCACAGACTAAGAAGTGAAGGGGTAATTATCTACATCAGCAGCAAGAGTGCCAACATGGCTAAAATCCCAGATCTTTGCAGTATTTAAACATTAACAGGAAGAACACTTAAAAATGGACAATAAGAAGGAGGTCAAATAAAATACCTGCAACAGGAGAAAACTGATGTGAAGGCATCTTTGGACTACCTCTGTTACGAGGAGAAATCATTATGTTCTGCTGATTGGAGCCAAGGCCAGGGCTACCATGTGGGGGGCTGTTCATATTTAGCCCATAATTGTTGTTTTGATAGGGAGAGGATTGCATTCCTGGTCCAAGATTTACAGAGCTTATGTTATTAGGGCCTCCATATCTAATGCCACTCATCTGTCCCACTGCATTGGGATCACCCAAGGAGTAAGGCCTATTCTGTATTGCCAGGCTTTGATTTGGCGACACATTCATTCCTCCAACAGAACTGGCACATCCGACTGTGGGAGCTCGTATGTTTTGTCCCACTGGGTTGGGATTTGTTCTATATCCATTCTGCTCTCTGAAAATCACACAGAAAAAAACTCACAAAATTTTATTCAACAATTAAACTTTATTAAGATTCTTGATAAGAGCTGAAATATAGGATGAAACTAATATATAAAACCACCTCCTCATGGATATTATGACTATGCCTTTCAATAACTAAACCACATAAGTCTTTTTCTAATGAGACTGAATTAATTTCCCTTCCACTAGGCTACTACAAAAATTGCCTCATAATTGACATCATATCTACTGCCCTTTACAGAATTAAGAAGGTTCCAATAAATAAAGCTACAAAACTCTTCAAAACCATCATTTTCCATGAGGAAGAGGTTAGGAAGTTAGAGAAGATTTAAGGATTTCCTATTTAATGTTTTGTATGTGTTGCCTACCCTCACTGGCATGTCACTTAGTATTTATGAAAAGCACATGTTGGTAACTGAAATTTGAATAAGAAAAAACTAACCTCAGTGTTATTACATCATGGGGAAAACTGGGAAATGGAAAGAAAAGTAGGAACACTTTTCATACAAGGTAGATATGCCACCTAGTCTATGCTTTTTCATAGATCAGTTTTCCTGGAAGAGAACATAACAGTTCATCCAATCTACTCCTTAGTCTTCAAATAGGGCCTTTCTTCCCTCCACCTCTGAAAGTAAAATGTTCAGGCAGAAATTATTTTGTAAACTTCTCACATACAAAACACAACTTTTAAAAATGTGCATTGCTACTCTCAACTCCAAACTTTTCAAGTTCTAAACCAAAGCATCAGAATCAAACTAACTACCACAGAATATTTTTTCTCCCCTAATTTTGACTTTTTTTACTAAAGTTTTTATATTAACAAAATATTTGACAGCTTGATATTTTTTTTTAAGTTTGAGAATAACATGACTGAAAAACACAACAGAAAGACACTACCTCTGTAGGAAGTGAGTAGAAAGAAAGCCATGGCGATCATTAGTTACTGGATTCCGAAAAAGTTTGCTCTTTGTTTGGGCAGTCACTATAGTCCCATCAGCTAAGGAGAACCGATACACAGGAGTTTCAGCATGTCCCTGAATATAAGCTGTATGAGAGAAATTAACATTGTAGACTATATCAGTGGAACACATCTTGCAAAGATTAGAAAGAAAATATATTTAAAAATAACAATTTTTCCAAGACTATGTAGCATTAAGTTCTATATAAAAATTATAAGCATGCTAAAATAAAAATTCTTAAGATACATTCTTACAAGATACAGCAATTAGTGTACATAAAACAAAAAAAAAGTAAAAAGGGAAGATTCTAAATGTAACAATTCAATTTTTTTTTTACGTTCCTTACCTTCCTGATAGTGCCGTTTTTGGGACCATGTCTGTCCATCATTAAGGCTAAAAAATCTCTGGATACACCTTCTGATTATATCTTCAAAGCCAGGTCTCATGGAAGACCTCAGTGAGTTTGTATCTATAGTGACAACTTTGCCTGTTTTTAAAGAATGAAGGAAATAAAATATTTATGAGATGTCCACTACGTGGAAGCACTGTAGAAGATAAAGAAAATGAGGGACAGCTAGGTGGCACAGTGGATAGAGCACCGGCCCTGGATTCAGGAGGACCTGAGTTCAAATCCAGCCTCAGACATGTAACACTTACCAGCTGTACGGCCCTGGGCAAGTCACTTAATCCCATTGCCTAGCCAAAAAAAAGAAAAAGGAGGAGGAGGAGGAGGAGGAGGAGGACAGAGACGGAGACAGAGATGGAGATGGAGACGGAGACGGAGACAAAGAAAATGGAATTAAGTTGAATCAACAAAGAACTACAGAAGAAGCTCATGTCTTTCTTAATCATCTGGTGTCCTGACTATATATTTCAGATACTGTCAGTGTCATCTTTGTATACATAGCCCTGACCCAAATGACATGTCTAACCATAATATTTTAGAGAACATCTGAAAACATCTTATCATTTCCTTTGACTTCTGGATGGCTTCAGTGGTTGAAATGTTGCCTTTACGATTCCCTCTATCTTCATAAAACACTTCATGTATAAACAGTAACCATTTTTTTGTCTAAATTTGGAGGACCAAGCAATCCCTCCATTAAATAATTCATTAAATATTTTATTGAGCATATGTGATATGCTAAGAATTTCTGAGAAGCTACAGAAATTCAGCTAATCCTAAAAAGTCCTATAAAATATAATCCTATGGAAACTTATCAGAGATTTCTCTAAATGTATTGCTACCTCTTTCAACTAAACTCTTTAACTTTCAGGAGGCAACAGGTGAAGAATATTTTAATATAGCCAGGAACAAGTCTCAAGATCCTCTGTAAATTATGAGTATTTTGCCAGTTTTTAAAATATCCACGTCAATTACTGCAGATGAATAACCTAATTTGACAGGTCACTAATCCCAAAAAAGAGATCCCCTCTTTTGTTCCTTATATGCCAGTACATCTCTTTGGTCAATTTAGGTGGCTGCTCTCCTGAAATCATTAAATAAATCAAGAAAATATTACCACAAAGCTCCAAGTAAGATGAATGCAAAGGTGACGAGGTCTACCTCTGACATGAATCTATTCCTCACTTCAACATCACTGGAACTGAGAGAGTGAGCCTTCCGGTCTTGATCCATCTCTGGGAATGAAGATCTCCTTTCCCTGAACTACTGCTCTAACTCAGAACACAAAACCACCAAAGCTCTCCCCAAAACTAAGAGGCCAGGACGATGCGGGTACAGCTGGTGTTAAAGTTTCTTCCCTAGTCTCTCTTCAGATCTGGGTTCAGAGTCCACCTTGACACAGAAGCTACTACCATACACAGCTATATTTATTCTGCACTGTGTCACCAAGCTATCTAAGAACATAGCACTTCACTTCTATAATAACCATGGAGCACCCAAACACTAGGCCTATCAGGGCCCCTCACAGGGCCTTTTACACTCTGGCCACCAATGTGGAATATCATCATATTGGGATGAGACCAAGGAATTGGTTCCAAATATTAATTCAGTCAAGCCCCCAGGGCTTGATCATCAAACATTTACTGACTCTTAATCACCCAAAGCTTCATGCTGCCTCCATACACAAACTTCCTGGAAAATAAGTAGGCTGATGCCACTAGCAGAGCAGGTATCCTCCTAATATCACAGTACATCAGAGAATGAGGGTCACCCACCTACTGGTGCTTTCCCAAGGCTAATGGCCAGCAAATGTCTACAGCCTAGTCCTCAATACCTATAACTCAGAACTTTGGCTTGCCAAAGCACCAAACCCCGCCTTTACCTGAAAATATTCACTGCTCACTGATCCCTATCCAGCAGTACCCATCCCTAGTCTCTGCCCTCCTCAGGCCTCTGGAATGGCTCCATCCAACCTTTTCACTCACATTCTTTTCATCTTTTTACAATCACAAAAATGTGCCTCTATCCAGAAATACTACAACTATCAAATGGACTCATTCTCTCAGGCCTCAAATCTTTAAGTACAAGTGGCCTACAAGAAAAACAGGCATACTCTGTTGTCATTATTGACTCTTCCAGACCCTCCCCTCTGCATGTCATTCATATACAAGGTGTAGTACAGATCCCTGTGGATATACAACACCAAGTACTAAATCACTGCCCCTCCTTTCACAAGTTCAATATAATTGCCTGTCTTAGCACATTTATCAATCTCAACGCTTGGGGCATATATGTTCACTCTACCTCAGCTATCCATATAGCTAGGTGGCTCAGTGGATAGAACACTGTGACTGGAATCAGGAAGAAATGAGTTTAAATCAAGCCTCTGACACTTTGTGACCCTGGGCAAGTCACTTAACCTCTGTCTGCTTCACTTACCTCAACTATAAAATGGGGGTAATAATAGCACCTACCTGCCCAGGGCTGTTGTAAGGTTCAAAAGTCATTACTTGTAAAGTGCTTACCACAGTGTCTGACATTTTTTAAATGTTTTTCTTCTTTCCTTCCTTCCTTCTTAGTTATAATATATAATATAATTTAATATAATATAACATAACATAATATAATATAATAACATATCTCACAATAACCTATAATTATGAAATTCCCATCTTCACATCTGTCTCTGACTCACTACTCTCAATCCTATCTTTGACCTCATTGTGAAAACCCAATACCTTCACTCTTCCATGTTCTCTTAGTCTTATCATCACTGTTATGGGCTATTTCTTCTACCTGCAGACCCTCAACCTTATATTTAACCAGATGAAGCATACACTATTCTCCGATCCTGAATGAATGAGCATTTTTCAAGTGCTCACAAGATGCCAGCCACTGTGTGAAGTGCTAGAGAAGCAAGCAAGAAAGTCCTCTGCCTTCAAGGAGCTTAAAGTCCAAAAATGAAAGGCAATACATATAGAGAAATCATCTTTCCAGGAATGGTAGTATTGATGTGATTACTGTTCTGAGCAAAAGTGGGGGGAGGGAGTTTATGCCAACAAAAGTAAGGTCAAATCAGAGAAAAGATCTAATGTCTTACCTAATAGGATAAGTTCATAAATAGGTAATCCATAATGATTCCATTTATTAAATCAATGTATAAAACATTCCAAAGAAATTTCTGTCAGCACTTTGGAGGGAAAAAATTCTCCTAACATTGTTAATGCCCTGGCAATCCTAAGTCCAGTGTAACCCCCACTTTCTGAGCTCTTTGCTATTCCATGCATACTTCTGAACGTTGCTGGTGGAAGTCATGGGTTGAAACATACCAATTTGACCCACTACAAATTCATGTAATATAATCTCAACTAGAAATCTCACATTTTTATACCATATTCCTTTTATGTTTCCACAATCAACTATTATTCCCAACAATGTAGATGTTCCAAACCCTCTCTCTCTTCAAACCAACTATGTCATTTCTTTCCTCATAATAGAGGCCTTTTGCCTCTTACTTTACAAAGAAAAATAAAAGCCATCAATCCTGATCTACAATTCTTTTCCCCTATTTCATACTTTAAACTTCTGGCAATTATTTCCTCTGCTCCAGTCTCTGATAAAGAGGCAACCCTGCTTCTTTCTAATTCTAAAATTTTATTTAATTTTTTTCAATTAATAACCTGGTAGCAAACATGCATAGCCAAACAAAACAAATTCCTACTGTGGCTGTTAATTGTGTGTGTGTGTGTGTGTGTGTGTGTGTGTGTGTGTGTGTGTGTGTGTGTGAGAGAGAGAGAGAGAGAGAGAGAGAGAGAGAGAGAGAGGGGCGGGGGGAGGGAGAGAGGGAGGGAGAGAGAAAGAGAGATTTTATAGCCTACAATCATCACTTCTATTAGTAAGTGGGTAAAATGGTACATAGATAATTCTTTGGAATCATGGCTGGTGATAATTTTGCTCAGAGTTCTTAAGTTTCCAATGTTAGTTCGAATTTGCAATAATTTGTTATTATTATTTTAATTGTTCTCTTGCTTTATTCTTCACTCTGCCTCAGTTCATACAAGTTTTTTTTAAGTTTCTCTAAAACACCCACATCAACATTTCTTATAGCATAGTAGTATTCCATTAAATTCATAAACTATAATTTGTTCAGCCACTTGTCAATTACTGGGCACCACCTTGAGTTTCTTGTTTTTTGTCACAGTTGCTATATTTTTCAACATAAGTCATGGAAGCAGGGTGGACACAAAGGTCATTTACTCTTCATTCTTTTGGCTTATGCCAACCTAACAGTGGTATTCCTATGTCAAAGGGTATATGCACAGTTTAGTAACTTTGGGGACAGAGTTTCAAATTGCTTTCCAGAACGGATAGACAATTCACAACTCCAGAATAGGATGTTATGCACTTGCTTCACCACAGCCCCACCCAGCATCATCTGTCATTTTCCTTTTGTGTCCAGTCTGCAACTCTAATTGGTGTGAGGGACATTCATCAGCCATTTAAAGCTCTTCCTAACTCACAATATCTTTTCATTCTACTTACACACTGCATCCTGCCATGTATTCAGTGGTCAATATTCCTCATATACAACACCGTTTCCCATCTCCATGCCTATACATGGTAGGACCCCATGCCTGGAATGCTACCTTACTCACCTCTACCTCTTAAAATCCGTAGCTTCCTAATAGACTCAGATTTAATGCAACTCTTTGCATAAGGCTATTCTTACACCCTCGATTGCTAATACATTCTCTTCTAAGATTACTTTCCATCTACTTTGTATCTATCTTTTATTTACTTATTTCTACATAGAAGGAATATACCTTCAACTAAAGCACACAAAATATTTGTGTGGATTCAATAACAAAGTGTTCCTAAAAGAAATAAATAACAATTTAAATAGGTGAAGAAATAGTCAAAGCTCATAGCTGGGCCATGACAATTTAATAAAAGTAGAAATTATGATATTAGCAAAGTTAATTTATAGGTTGAATGCTCTGTGAATGAAACTATCAAAGGAATACTTTATAGAACTCAATACAATAATAAAATTCAACTGGAAAAGCAAAATATCTAGAATACCAAGGGAAATAATGAAAAGAGATAGGCAATAACACTTTTATACCCCAAACTACACTATAAAGCATGTCATTAAAACCATTTGGTTTTGTAACTCTGAGGTACCACATCACACCTATCAGATTGGCCAACATGACAAAACAGGAAAATGATAAATGTTGGAGAAGATGTGGGAAAAGTGGAACACTAACGCATTGTTGGTGGAGTTGTGAAATCATCCAACCATTTTGGAGAACAATTTGGAACTATGCCCAAAGGGCTACAAAATGGGCATACCCTTTGACCCAGCAATAGCACTTCTAGGGCTATATCCCAAAGAGATCATACAAATGGGAAAAGGACCCACATGTACAAAAATATTCATAGCAGCTCTTTTTGTGGTGGCAAAGAATCGGAAATTGAGAGGATGCCCATCAACTGGGAACGGCCGAGCAAGTTGTGGTTTATGAATGTAATGGAATACTATTGTGCTATAAGAAATGATGAACAGGCTGACTTCAGAAAAACCTGGAAAGACTTATATGGTCTGCTGCTGAGTGAAGTGAGCAGAACCAAGAGGACTTTAATTTGCAATAACAGCCATGTTATGCGATGACTAATATTTTTAAACTACACCCTTCTCAGCATTACAAGGATCTTAGAAATCTCCAGAGGCCTCGTGATGGAAAATGCTGTCCACATCCAAAAAAAGAACTATGGAAGTCGAATCTCTATCACTTATTTTTACCTTCTGTTGAGTTTTGTGTCATCTTTCTGATGCTTCCTCCTATTGGTTTTAATTTTTATTTACAACTTCACTAATAAGAAAATATGTTTAATAGGAATGTAAATGTAAAGCCTATATCAGATTGTGTGCCATCTTGGGAAGGGTGGTGGGGAGGAAGGGGGAGAAAAATTTTCAACTCAAAAGAATATGGAAGTGATTGTTGATAAATCAAAATAAATTTTAAAAAAAAGAAAAAGAGGGGAAACCTGACAAAAAAACCATTTGGTTTCGGTATTGGTTAAAAACTAGAGAGGTAGATCAGTGAGGAAGAGATTAGACAATGGAGAATCAGAAACAACAGAATATAATTTAGTGTTTGAAAATCCAGAAAACATAAATTAGACAGGAAAATACCACTAATTTAATAAAAACTGATGGGAAAATTCAAAATCAGTATGGTAGAAATTAGTCTTAAAACCAACATCTTCTGCCATATTACACAATAAACTCTAAATGGATTCATTAGAGTAATATTATGACCATACCATAAAAAAAATTTAGAAGAGAAGCAGATAATATACTTTTCAAAGCTATGGACAGGAGATATATTCTTAGCCAAACAAGGAGTTGAGGAGATTGGAAAAGATAAAACTGAAAATTTTGGTTAATGAAACTGAAAAGCTTCTGCACAAACAAAATTAATGCACTTAGAAAAAGAAGAAAAGTAGTCAAATGGGGATAAAAATCTTTGCATAAAATTTCTCAGGTAACAGTTTAGTATCAAAGATTTTTTAAAAAAAAACATAATACATTCACATGAGAAAAGAAAGGGAGGGGAGGGAAAGGGGGAGGGGAGGAAGGAGATGAAAGAGAGAGAGGAAGAGACCAAAAATGATTCCCCAATTGATAACTGATGGAAAGATATAAACAAAAAGTTTTCAAAAGAAGAACTGCAAAGTAATAACAATATAAAAAAAATGCAAAGGGCAGCAACGTGGCACAGTGGATAGAGCACTGGCCCTGGATTCAGGAGGACCTGAGTTCAAATCCAGCCTCAAACACATAACACTAAATAGCTGTGTGACCTGGGCAAGTCACTTAACCCCATTGCCTAACAACAAAAAAAAAAAAACAATAAAAGAATGTGCCAAATCACTAATAAGAAAAATGCAAATCAAACCAACCCTAAACATTTAACTCTCTCACACTCTATAAATGGCAAAGATGATAAAACAAGGGATTGTTCAATGTTGGACAGGTTCTAGGAATATAGTATACTGTTGGTGAAGTGGTGAAGCAATCATTTTGGAAAGCAATTTCAATTATGTACCATAAATTTTGACCTACATAGTTTAAAATTAGGCTTATATCCCAAGGAGGTCAGTAATAAGAAAAAAATTCCCACATACAGCAAAACATTTATATCAGCAACTTTTGTGATAGCAAAATATTAGAAACAAAGCAGATAGCCATTTATTGGAGAATGTTTAAACAAATTGTGGCACATGAATGTAATGGAATATTATTATAATGAGAAATAAAATTTAAGATATGATACAGAGTGAAATAACCAGAGCCAAGAAAAACCATGAACAATAACTACAACAAAAATGGAAAGAACAACCACAAAAAAATCAAAAGGCAACATTACAAAATTTTAAGGAGCAATAATGGCCTTTAAAAAGAGATATGAAAAGATACTCCCAAACCTTCTTTAAAAAACTGAGGGGATAATTAAGTGAAAAAATAAGTGAAAGGATCCACAGATATGATACATCGAAAAAATCTGAAAATAAGAGCAATATGTTGATCAGTTTTGCTGACTTTCTGTTACCAAAAATATTATTTGCTATATGGGATAGCAAATAGAGGGAGAAAATAGGGGGAGAGGCAAGGATACTAGGAAAAATTTTGGTGGCATAAAAAAAAAGATATAAATAAAAATCTGCTTTAAAAAAAACAAGAAAGCATGTACTTTAAGGACAAAGACTGTTTCTGGTATTTCTTTGTGTCCTCAGCATTTAGTATATTCTCTAGAACACAGGGAATTAAAGTCTTAATAAAGGCTTGTTATTGATTGGATTGTCGTTAGCTTTTTACACCTTATATCCCCTCAGTAGAATCTAAGATCCTTGAAGGAAAGGAATTTCACTTTGGCTCTGTAGTCCTGATTTCCAGGATCTACTAACAGGTAATAGATATAATAAATTTTTTGCTAAAATGAAGTAATACATAACATATCTGTTATGTATTAAATTGCAATGAATAAGCAAGAGGTGATTCTAGATTATGGTACATAATCTTAGAGTCCAGGAAACAAAAGAATCTAAACTTTCAGAAAGGACTACATATGAAAATGAGGGAACAAGGGGGAAGAGAATAACAATTAGTATAAGACTAAAGTGGAGATGTGGCTAAAGTGGAGATCAGGTTAGGGATTCAACAGTGTTAATGCTAGCAATAAACAATCACTACAAAGAAAGGTACAAGAGACAAAAGCAGCCTCTGACTCACTACCATAGAAAGGAAGAGACCTCAGATGATAAAACAAAGTTAGCGTTTCACTACACAACATTAGCTAAAATGTCCAGCATAATAACTGTGTTTCTCTAGCAATCAGGAGACTTAAACTGTAACTTCTTAGTCATAGTTTAAAATACTGACTTGGTAAATGGGTTAAACATAAATGTTTTATTTTTCTTTCTTAGGCATAAATACAGGTTCAAGACTGTCCTACTAAGGAGACAATTAAGAGCTCCAAATCATAAGGTAGGAACTATTAAGTCATTTGATAGACTGAGGTTTTTTGTTTTGTTTTGTTTTTGTCCTTCAACCTTAAATTCATGTAAAGATTTGAATGAGAAATAATAATACCAAAGAGCTAAAGTGCATAAGCACATGGTAATCTAAAAGGCAAAGAGTTTCACTGTAAAATTAATTTCACAACAGTATGGGACAGAGGAGAATGATTTGAGGAAAATCTGGGAAGATTTTTATGAGCTGATGCAAAGTGAAGTGAGTAGAACCAGGAAAACACTGTACACAGTAACAGCAATATTGTAACAATGATCAACTATGAAAGACTTGGCTACTCTGATCAAGACAAGGATCCAACACAATTCCAAAGGACTCATGATTAAAAATGCTATCCACCTCCAGGAAGACAACTGATGAAGTGAGAGTGCAGATTAAAGTATATTGCTTTTCACTTTATTTTTCTTGGTTTTGTTTTGTTTTGTTTTGTTTTGTTGGGGGGAGGGAAGAACATGGCTAATACAGAAATATTTTGTATGACTTCACAAGTATAATGGGCATCATACTGCTTGCCTTGTCAATGAGTGGGGGCAAAAGGATGGAGAAACAGAATGTTAAAAAGTATGAGGCATAAAAATTAACATTAAAATAAAACTACAGACAGAAACTCTACCCTTGCAAAAAAAATTCTATGTAGTTTGCTTTTTCCTTAAATTCACTTTATTGACATCATTTACTAAAAAGATGGAAGATATAGCATTTTTTTTTTAGTGTGGAGGTGGGGAGATGAAATCAGGCATACTTGTAGAACTGATTAATCTTACCTGAAAGGTCATGTTTAGTAATAAAGCTTTCAGGGTTTGAAGGGAACACTGTACTGATGCGGCGCGCCACACATATCATACAAGATTGTAAATCTGTAAATAAAAATTTAACCCATTTCAGATTTGACAATATTTTATGAGGATAATAATTTCTTTGAAAGATGAATAAAGAAACATAGAAACACAATGACTTAATCATTTTATCTTTCCTTTTGTTTTACACATTTGAAATATAACACTTACCTTCTCCTTCCTCCATCATAGCCCGTGGCTGAGACAAGGCAAAACACTGCATTGTCTCATATCTCTGGCGCATATCAGGACTGCCACCCACATCATCTAGAATATCGTGCACTGTTTTCACCAACATACGGCAATTAAATGTGTGACTTTTTTGTCTAGGTGTCTCACTTGTCCATGGATCTCCATTTACTTTAGAAAACAAATAAATCATAGGAGAAAGAAACAGGAAACAAAGTGTCACTTTGGTGTACAGGAATCTAATTCAGCACACTGAGAACACGAAGCAGTGTTTTCCATACTTCAGTAGAGGAGTTGGATATACTTAATATTTTACAAATCATCAATGGAATATTATATTCCAAGGTTAACACAAACTCACTGGGACCTGTCTAAATCAGGGTTGGGGAACCTGCAGCCTCGGGGTCACACTTGGCTTTCTAAGTCCCTGGGTACAGCCTTTTGACTGAGTCCAAGTTTTACGGAACAAATCCTTTTATTAAGAGGATTTATTCTGTGAAGTTTGGATTCACTCAAAGGACTGCAACTGAAGACTAGAGGGTGACTCGTGGCCTTCATGCCACGGATTCCCTACCCTGGTCTAAATAAATAATTGATAACTGTCTGAATGTTAAAGAAGATTGTGTATATAAGAACACAAACACATTACTGCTTCTAAAAGCTCTATTTGGATGACTTTAGTCAAACTTTCCAAAACTGAGCAAGATAGATAGATAGGTAGCTAAACAAAAGAATGTTTTTGGTTGTGTTTTTTTTCTTAAACAAAAATATAATTACCTGCTGACTTAGGCAAATTCTTGAGAAAATCCTTTCTGTCATCTTCATGTAAGATACTGTAGACACTGGTATTAACCAAGTCTTCTTGCTTATACTGCAGGTACTGTGTGACATTTTCTGACACAAATACAATGGTCCCATCACGATTCACCACAAAGAGAAAACCATCTAAGGCCTAAAACATGATTGTACAAATATACATTAATATCTGACTTAATTGGGTTTGGTTAAAAAGACCTTTTATTTTAGTACCAAATGATTAAAATAGCTGTCCTACACTCCTCTCCCCCCCCATCTATTCTTTTAAGAAAGTACACAAAACTAAATTAATACTTTTCCATTATTGGTATTAATATTAATTTTGCATGTAAACCCTAATAGTCATAAAACAAAGGGAGACATAATTTTCAAAACAACACACAAAAGTTAGGCTCAAATTCATAATAGGAATACATAAAATGTAAAAACTTTCACAAAAATAATTTCAACACAATCAAAATTAGGAAAGAACAAACAAATGGGAAATAAATACTTGCATTCAACATTTCTGAAAGTGTAAAGTACAGAACCAGCTGTCCCCTTTGGATTCGATGCCATGTATCAGCTTTGGGACTAACATTGCATCAGTATCATCAGCCACAGCCCCTCTGATTGGAGAAAAAAACTTCTCCCAAAGCTTTCATTTAAAAAGGGCTCTCAATCCAGCCATTTCTCACCCACTGCCCTCCTGGAAATCAACACCACCACCATCATACCCGGCCCTGTCCCACCCTACCCCTTCCAATTTAAACTTCCTTTGGGGTGCTGTCTTTCCTCATTCGATTGTAAGCGCCTGTGGGACAAGGGCTGTGTTCTTATCATTTGAATCCCCAGCAACTGCAGTGTCTGGCACACTGTAGGTGCTCAATATTTACACGATATAGAATTGAAAGAATGACAGAAAATCTATATGAAATTGATGTATATAAGATTAAATAGATGTGACCAAAATTATAAAGAGAGCTTTCAAAAGAAATTGAAACTATTATCTTTAAAACTGTTCAGAATTACTTATTAATAACCATTTTAAAAACTGTAGTATCCCTCACACAGTTCAAATTAGAAAAGATGATTATTTATAAGGGGTAATTCAATTCTGGAGGGGCTATGGGAAGACAAGTATGCTAATTCACTGCTGGTGAAGGCGCAAACTTATTCTACCATTTGGGAAAAATTTTGGAATTATATGAGTAAAGTTACTTAATACTTTATATCCTTTAACCAAGAGACTTTACTGCTAGGTGGTGCAGTGGATAGAGCACCCTGGAGTCAGGAGGACCTGAGTTCAAGTCCAGCCTTAGACACTTCAAACCAGCTGTGTAACCTTGGGCAAGTCACTTAACCTCGACTGCCTCGCTTAAAAAAAAAAGACTGATATACGTACACATATTCCTAGTAGCATTATTTGTGGTGATAAAAACTTAAAATATATATCCAATAACTGAGGATGATCAAACTGTGGTATATGTCTGGCAAACATTATATATGAAATTCTGAAAAATGAAGGAAGTAGAAACAAGATGTATACAACGGCCACAAAAGTATACATAAAGGTAACACTAAAAAAGGAAACAAAACTAAGGTCTTTACTGATAATTCATAAACAACAAAAGTAGAAATTAACATGTACAATCATAGTGCAATCACACTGAGATAGTTTTACTTAAAAATTTGGGGGGAATATACTTGTTGGAGGGTGGGAAGATTCTGTTTTTGTTGGGAAGTGTTTCATATTCAAACAAAATGTATAAATTTAAATAAATTCTGTTTTTCAATGATTTTATCTTTAATAAAAAAATTTTTGTAAAATCTTGAGAGAGCAGGAAAGGACATGAAATAAAAAGAAGAGAGACAGAGGCACCTAGAAGCAAGAGGTCAAAAATAGACTGATTAGATTTGTTCTAGAATCTGAAATATGTTTCTCTGATATTTAGATTATACTTCATTTAAAAGCACTGTCATCTGATGGAAAGAGAGCTAGTACAAGAAGGCCTAGGTAAGAATCCCAGCTCTTCTCCTTACCTGTGTGAGATAACACAAGTCTCTCAACCTTTTGGGGCCTCACTTTCCTCATGGTGTACAGACAGAAAGTTGGCCTAGAAACTAGTAAGACCCAGGTTCCAGTCTTGCCTTTCACACATGCTGGCTGAGTAACTCAGAGGGCAAGTCACTTAACCTCACAGTGGCACAGACAGTTCTCTAAGACTAAGTTGCAGAGAAGGTACCAACCTCTATTGGCAGAGGGAGTTTCCTCATCTGAGAGTTCCCTATATATCAATGAAATCACAGGTCCAGTACCTCTGTACATATTCCTATCCCTATTCTATCAATTAGGGAAATTGTAACAAAAAAATTAAACATGTTTTTAATACTTAAAAAGATTGTTTACCTTTATTATCACATTAAAATGTTAATACTTTATTAACTACCAATCCTAGAAAGAAAAATGTTTTTAAATTTCTTTTTAATGCCATTTATAACTGTATCATTTTTACCATTCTAAGACTGACAATTGTTTCAAAATATATGGCACATGCATAGAAACTAAAGAGTATCTATAAATTCAGGAATGGCTGAAATAATTATAGTATATGAATATGATGAAATATTATAGTGCTATAAGAAATGAAGGGAATGGTTTCAGAGAAACCTGGGAAGATCTGTATGAACTGATGCAGAATAAAGTGAGCAAAATCAGGAGAACAATTTCTACAATAACATCAATATTGTAAAACAAACAACTTTGAAAGATTTAAGGACTCTCATCAATGCAAGGACCAACCACGATTCCAGAGAACCGATGATGATATCATACCCACCTCTTGACAGATAGGTGATAGACTCAAGATACAAAGAATAAGACATATTTTTAGATGGTGCCAATATGATTATTTGTTTGAATATGCACATTTGCTAAAAGGGGTTTGTTTTGCTTTTTTTCTTCCAATGGGAGGGGGAAGTAGATAAAATAAAGGCTTGTTAATTGAAAAAATGTTAAATTGTAAAATAAATTTATAGCATAACTGTCATTTGGTTCAACTTTTTTATACTTGCCTGTAGTAAAAGTGGTCCTAAGGAATCTTTATCAATAACTCCCTGCCCTGTAGAAGATACATCAGCTTTCTGAACATCATCATCAATGGAAGCTGCCTTTCCTAAAGAGACAGAAGAAAGTTCTTCAAATGACTCTAGTTATACTGGTTAATAATTACAAAATGGTCCAGAACAGATATACAGCATACATTCTGTTCCCTTAACAAGGGAATTATTTGATCATGAAAACATATAACTTGAACAGGAGCTCAAAAGAGATGGTCTCAATTTTGTTAATAAAAAAGGAAGCAAAAAATTAAAAAAAATTTTAAAAAGGAGGCAAAGTTAAGTGTTGGGTAGGGGCAGGAAGCACATGTGACATAGAAGTGGTTAATGAGAGAGAGGACTGCATGAAGCTTGATAAAGATTTACTCAGGGAAGATTTTTTATAAATCCACCATCAAGCAATGAAGGTAGAAACAGATTCCAAAAGTGTTTTCAGATGTGATCAGGTCTGTGGATAGTTAACATGAAGAAGAGATATAAGTCACAAGACTGCAAGTGGGTGCTAAAAGAGAAGGTCAAGTTGCTTGCTGAATTGTTCTCTTTTTTCTATTTTTTCACTGTGATTTGTTTAGTAACTTTAAACTTACAATGTAGTTTTAAATACAGTTTGGACTTGTCTGTGAAAAAAAAAAGAAAGATATAGCAATGAAGGCAGGGATTAGGACAGAAAACTTAGATACTCAGGTACTGAATTCCTTGTGAAAGGAAGTAGAATGGCCTAGACTCCAGCAAATAACAGCATGAAGGATATGGATAGGGTGATAGAGGTGTTTGAAATGAATATCAAAAGAAAGGCTGCTGAGTGTTTGTGACAAAGGGAAGGCCTAGAAGAGGTACTGGAGACCAAGGACTTTGCTACAACCTTCTCCTGGCCAAGTGAATTGAGTCCATTACAGAAGGCACAACACATAGAAAGAGAACATGCCCAGGAATTTAAAAAAAAAATCTCTTGGGGAAAAAACAGGTTTTCATTAATACAATAAAGACTTTGAGAGGAAGAATATCAAGAATGAAAAGGAATTTGTTTATAATAGTGGGTTCCAGAAGACAGAGAGCAGAACAGGGAGAAAAAATTAACCTGAGAAGTCAACAGCTGGCTAAGAAAATGAAACTTAAATTTCTGAACCATGACTTAACAATATTATGAGATCACAGATTCCTGGACAGAGATGAAGTATACCTAACAAAAACTAGTAAGAATATACTTGACAAGTGCCTGGCATATCTAATCAAAAGGGCTTCAAAGTGAAAAAGACAAGGGAAGGAGACAACCTATGTATTACCCCCAAGTTAGATACTAGACCATATAGGTACCAGAAAGGAAGAATAATTAACAGTTGAAAATTTCAGAAATCTACCCAAAACAAGAGCCAAGAAAGGAATCAATATTAAAACCTCTGACCTCAACAAATCCCCAAAGTTGAAAAAAAAAACAAACAGAACACTAGAGAACTAATGGTCCAAATACAAGCAGGCAAATTTGACTTCATAGGTATCCCTGCAATTTTGTGGGATGAAATCCATCCAGACAATGGTTCTGGATGAGTATACTTTATTTAAAAGAATAAGGGTATACAGCAGGACAGCGAAGGGTAACATCAGATATTAAGAATGTTTGCTATTATATATAAATGCTAATGATTTCTTTGGGTTTACTTTGTAGCCTGAAACTTTGTATCAATTAGTTCTTCAATAACTGCCTCTGATTTTCTAAGTAACCATCATGAGATTAGCAAACAGAGATAATTTTGTCTTCTCTTTGCCTCTCTGTAGGTTTTAATTTCTTTCTTTTGTCACTGCTATTGCTACCATTTCTATAATTCTATCAAATAATAGTAGGCAAAATGAGCATCCATGTTTTATTCCTGGATTTATTAGGAAAGTTTCTCTGGTGCCTTCACATTGTATATGATTGCCTGATTTTCGCTTTAGATATACAAGATCTCTCTATGCCTATATTTTGTATAGATTTTAGCATAAATAAGTGCTGTACTTTATCAAAAAATATTTTAAAATTTTTTTAATCAAAGTTTATTTAATTATATTGATTTATAGTTCTCCTGTCCTTTAGTCTTCCCTGGTTTAGGTCTATATCAGTTTCATAAAAGGCGCAGAGTTTTTTCTCATTAGTACTGGTATTAATTGTTTTTTAAAAGTTTGATAGTATTCCATCAGGACCAAGAGTTTTTTTCTTTAGTATTTCCTTTATGGCTAGTTTTATTTCTTTTTCTGAGACTGGGTTACTTAAGATTTCTATTTGATATTCCATTAATTTGGGAATTTTATATTTTTGAAGGTTTTTCTGTGTTCTTAGTTTTGTTGACATATAATTGTGCATAAATTCTGATAATTCTTTTTATTTCTTTGAATTTTGTTATGATTTCACCTTGTTCATTTGGTATTTTGCTGATTTGAATCTCTTGGGTTCCATTTACAGAGACATAGTTTCTAGGCATAAAGAGGAAATAATCCTGCTGTAATCTGCCCTCATCAGTTCTCATTTGGAATATCGTGCTCAATTTTGGGCACTGCAATTTAAGAAGTATATTGATAAGCCAGGGAGTGATCAGAGGAGAACAATCAACATGGTGAAGGCCTGAAGTTCATGATATGTGAGGATCAGTTGAAGGAGCAGGGCATATTTAACCTGGAAAAGAAAAGATTCAGAAGGGACATGCTGGGATTAAATTTGTTCTATTCAAACCAAAAGCAAGGGGAAGAAGTTGCATCTCACCACTTGTTGCTTATGTGATGACAGGTACTGCTTTAGTGTAAGGGTTGGACTAGATGGCCATTGAGGTCCTTTTCAACTTTCAATTCTGTGATTCTGAGTGGGAATATATAAGACAGAGCCAGACAGGAATGAGAGTTACAGGAGAGGAGCAAAGAATCTCTGAAGTTCAAGGATTGATTAGGCAGCCAAAAGAAAGGAGTTTGTGAGCCATGGCAGGGTAAGTGCCAACTGATCACAGCATGAGACTGTTGAATCAATGGTAAAAGTAATTGGGAAGGTCATGTGGTAAAGGCAAGAACTAATCCTGAGCCCTCTAAAGCTAAGAACAATATTTTACTGTTCTGTACCCCATGATCACAGGGGACTATCAGGGATAAAAAAATTAACAGTAATGGCAGCCAGGAGGCTTATAGTGAAAAAAGGCTATTGTGCCAAGAAGCACATGGCTAATTCACTCCACCCCTCTTACTCATAACCAAAAATTAAAAACCAAGGCAGGGGTGCTGATAGAAGTCATACAAGTACTTTCTCAATCCTGAAGAGCAACAACTCCTGCAAACCTGGGTTCTTAAGAATGAATGCAGACTGAAGAGACAGCAATTTCTGGGTAATAATGATGGACAATACATAGTGACAATGGGCAGAAAAGTAGACATTTCTACTGATGCCACTCAAGATGACAATATGGGTGGGGGTCCTATAATGCGAATCCCTGAGAAGTGCCAGGGTCCTCAACACTCTCAGGTCGTTAATTCATGAGAGGAAAGAAGACTTTGAGGTTCAATACTTGGAATCAGTAGTGCCTTCCCTATACTCTTTCAGTATTCTTTTCCTATTTGGGCAAAGGTGGTAGAAAAGAACTTATGATGGGGGTGGGAGAAGTAGGTGTCACAGAAAGATCCACAGAAGAGGTTGCATTTGAGTTGGGCTTGGATAAGAGATCCTAAGCATAAAGACTCTGTTAGACAAGGCAAATAGATATAAACGTTTACAACATGTAGTGGGAATGAATATCAAGCGAACTGGCTAAAGTAGAGAGTAAGAGAAAAATAATAATATGAGATAAGCTAGAAAGGTATGCAGATGCCAAATTTTGGATGGCCTTGAATGCCCACCAGAAAAGATTTGAACTTTACTCAGTATGGAGAAGAAAAATGCCATCTTTAATCATACCTATCTATAAGAAAGATTAGTGTGGTTGGGATCCATGTTAGATTGGAGAGGAGAGACTCGCTAGGAAGTTAATTTAAGAAAGGGAGTAATATTATCAAATTTATACATACAGAAGAATAGCCTGTTAAAATCAATCAGTCTTTCAACACATTTATTAAGTATTTACTATGTGCCAAACATCGTAAAGGCAAAAACAAGCAAATTCCTACCCTGAAGAAACTTACATTTTAATGAGGGAGACAACACTTGCGTACACAATTACATAAATGACACATACAAAGAAGACACAAAATAATCTTGAATAAGAAGAGACCAGAACCTGAGGTAACCAGGAAAGGCCTCCTACACAAGATGGCATTTGAGCTGAGTCTCAAAGGAAACCAGGGATTACAAGAGACAGGAATATAGAGGAAAATCATTCTAAGCATAGGAAACAGCCAGTGTAAAAGCACGGACACAGGAGATGAAGCACCATGAGTTACAGCAAGAAGGCTATTGTGACTCAACCACAGAAGGAGTAGAGGGAAATGATACAAAAGAAACTGTAGAGGTAGAAAATGGCCAGCTTGTGAAGAGCTTTAAATACCAAAGAGAACTTATTCAGCAGACTCCTATGGCTTCCTGTTACTTTTAGGATTGCATATAAAGGAAGATGATTTGCTAAGACCTGTGAATTAGGAAAATCACTGTAGTTTTCAGGCGGAAGGTGTATTAGTGTGCAGAGACTTGAGGCAAGGAAACCAAATAAGAAGCTACTGCAATAGTATAGGGGGAAAGTAATAAGGGCCTGGAAGTAATGAAGGTGCTGTTTGTGCCAGTGGAAAGAACAGCACATATGTGAGACAGGTTATAGAGAAGGAAATGACAAAATTTGATAACTAATCAGAAATGATTTCTCCCCTTCCTCCCATCCCCCACATACACTAAAGTGCACTAATCAAGAGTTCTTACAATGTAATCCAGGGACCCCTAGGGAGCCCCAAGATCCTTTCAGGAAGTGACATGTGTAAAGGAATGCTAAGACCAAAATGTCTGAGAACTACTATGCTACACATGGGTTGGCCCAAAAGGGTAGGTGTCTCCCCCCATTTGAATGTGAGCTCCTTATGGACTAGGGCCATGTCTTTGTCTTTCATTGTATCCCCAACACACAGCAAAGTGCTTTGTATATATTAAGTGCTTCATAAATGCTTAGGGATTGTTGACTGATATATTGAGTTTGAAAGCCTATAGGATGCCCAATTCAAAAATGTAAAAATGAGATACTCTTTCTAAGAAGAACAGAGCAGAAGCAAACAGAGCTACGACAAAACAAATCAAAGAAAACAAGCTCAATATAGTTCCCTCTGTACCCACTTGTCATCTCATTCTGCTCAATCCAACTTCACTCATAGACCTGGCTACCTGAAGACTCAGAGACTAGCAAAAAGGATAAAACATAGCAAAAGGTATATTAAAAAAACTCTAATAGAGATCCGTGCTTGAATTAATAATGGCAACCATCACTAATTGAATAACTTTTGTAACTCAGTAATTGCTTTATTTAAAATTCCATATTACCTTGTTCCTTTATCTGTCGGATTTGTCTCACGGTTTCCTTTAAAATTGCACATTTATCTGGTTTGACATTGAAACTGTCAATGTCACTGAGATTAGCAGATATCAATTCAGCCAACTCCTCGAGGTATTTACTCTCCTGCTCCCGTCGCCACTTCTCCCCACTGCCAATCAAACTAGGGGAAAGAACAATCATGTGATAAAGGTTCTGAATGCATCAAGGCCAGGCAGTGGTACCAAGAACCTTGTAGGCAGGAGAAGCATGGTACAAATGACCATTCAAACACTCACCAGTGACACAGCCTTGGTGAAGTCACTTAGTATCTGTATTGTTGCTTCTCCATCTGTAAAATGAGGCCAGTAGCAATAAAGCCTACCTCCTAGGGCTGTAGGGATGTAAAGAGGTTTGCAAATCTTGAAGCTTTTATCATTATTAGCTCTTACACCAATGAATCTGTGGCTTGGTCAATGTGTAGTACCCTCCAAGGATAGAGATGGGGCCCATTCATGTCCTCCCAAAGCTTACCATAAGGGTCTTCCTCTACTTCTTCCCATGTCACAAGGTACCAAGAGACCACCCTAGTAATCCATGGTATATCCCTCACTCTCAGAAACTGACCAACCTATCTCTTCATTCCATGACACATTTCTTTGATGACATACTTTACTCTTCCAAGTCCCTCACTGACTGTTATGTTGCTGCCTGCTCACACTAAACACTCAGGTTTCCATTGCCATATGTATGATGCTCATCTGTAATTCTTCAAAGGCAGTGGTGTTCTCAAACAGCTCAAAAGTGTTAAAAATGTTTGCATCAAAAATATGAGTCTGTACCATTATGGGAAGCTTAGGGTGGGTAAAAAGCACTATACAAATCTCTTCAAAGTAATCTAGCACATTCCCTTCCCCCTTTTCAACTCTGGGTCCATCAGTATTTTGTGTGTGTGTGTGTGTGTGTGTGTGTGTGTGTGTGTGTGTGTGTGTGTGTGTGCGTGTATACGTGTGTGGGCGCATGCATGCACATATATATGTGTGTTTGTACACTGTTGGAACTATAGAGCATATTAGCTATTGGTGAAAGAAAACTTATTATCAATTGAAAAGACATTTTTCCAGAACTATGAATACATGAAATTGCTGAAAAATCGTCCTTCTATGGCTGCTATGTTTAAGCTTCCACTTTAATACTAAACCATGGTATTAAAGAGCAGAATGTTACTACAAAGATGAAAGTTACCTCTCTACAGAAGTAGAAATGCACATCTTATAATTCTTGTTATTCAAACGATAAACATATTCTTTTTTGATACCGAAAACTTTATTTAGAACAAAAATGTTATGTGATACAAGTCACCAAATATCCACTTAAGTCAAATTATAAAACAATTTCATGAGACCAAAGAATCTCACTGAGAAGAAAACTTACATATCCGAAGCCCTATGCAATACAGGCACTCTATCAATAGCACTCTTAAACAAGTCATTTAGGCCATTCCTGAATACCCCTGGTGACAAAGTTCTTTATTTTCATAATAGGGACAGCCTATTCTAATACTGGACTGTTATGCCTATTACAAAGCCATTTCATATCTAAAATACAATGTCCTAATGACAAGAATAACAACCAAAACAATCAAAACTTAATGTCATAAAATTTAATGAATAAGGGGCAGCTAGATGGCGCAGTGGATAGAGCACCAGCCCTGGATTCAGAAGGACCTGAGTTCAAATCCGGCCTCAGACACATAACACATACTAGCTGTGTGACCCTGGGCAAGTCACTTAACCCCACTGCCTAGCCAAAAGATAAAAAAATTAATGAATAATCATGGGAAAAAACATGAAAATGCATCTCTACCTATTTTTAGAAAGATAGGGAAATATAGGCATGGAGCACTGTATATAACAACAACTGTAAATAATAATGTCAGACTTCTGATTTGTTGGTTACCTTTGTTGACTTTTTTTTTGCTCTTTGTTAAGATGCACTGGGAAATGTAGGTGATGTTTTTAAAAAAGAATAGAAATAAAAATTTACTTTAAAATAGGTAGGTATTGCCTTTTGCAATCAGCTCTGTCCCTTGTTTGGTTTTGTTCTGTTTTGTTTTTTAAATTTCAGGCAACTGGGATTTAGTGACTTGCCCAGGGTCACACAGCTAGTAAGTGTCAAGTGTTTGGTCTGAGGCCAGATTTGAACTCAGGTCCTCCTGACTTCAGGGCTGATATTCTATCCACTGCACCACCTAGCTGCCCCCCCTTGTTTGTTTTGTTGGGTTTTTTAGGCAATTGGGGTTAAGTGACTTCCCCAGGGTCACACAGCTAGTAAGTGTTAAGTGTTTGGTCTGAGGCCAGATCTGAATTCAGGTACTCTTGACTTCAGGGCCGGTGCTCTATCCACTGTGCCACCTAGCTGCCCACCGCCCCCCCTTGTTTGGTTAAAGATGCTTCAGCTAGTCCTAGAAATGTGAAAGGTATCTGATTTCTTTAGTGTAACTTTCAATATTCAGATTACATATTCACTTTTACACTGTACAGTACATGGTATAAGATATTCATCTAAACCTACTTTCTTCCAAACTGCTTTCCAGTTTTCCCATCTTATTGTTCAGCTATTTCAGTTGTGTCCAACCCTTCATCATCTCATTTAGGATTTTCTTGGCAAAGATACTGACAGATTTGCCATTTTCTTCTCCATGGATCCATTTTTTTCAGGCAATCAAAGGTTAAATATCTTGTCCAGGGTCACACAGCTAGGAAGTGTCTAAGCCTGGTTTGAACTCAAGTCTCCCTGACTGCAAGATCAGTGCTCTATCGACTGAGCCACTGGCTAGCCTCAATGTTTTCCCATGAGTTCTCATCAAATAGAGAATTCATCCCCAAGTAATCAATATTCTCAGATTTATCAAATACTGGCTTGTTAAATTCAACAGTTTCTAATTCTTCTTTAGATAGTCTGATTTAGTTTCATAATTTTTAGCCAGTACAAAGCTATTTTTATGATTACTACTTTAAGGTATAATTTGAGGTCTGGAAATACTCCCTGCATTTTTACTCTTTTAAAGTTTCACTTCAGATAATTCTGAATACATAAAACTGAAAAGCTTTTATTTGAAGAAAAAAATCAATGCTATTGGAATAAGAAGGAAAGCTATTAACTAAGAAGAAAAATCTTTGCAACAACCATCCATAATTAGGTCCTAATATCCAAGAAATATCGGTATCACAAATACCATTCCTCAATGAATAAGTAGTAAAAAGATATGAATACTTCTTACCAGATGCCCGCTTACTGTGGAACAGTTAAATTATATTACATTATTGTAGTATTATAAGAAATCATTAATACTTAGACTATAGGAAAAAAATTAGATTAATATGAGCCAACCAATAAAAAGTGAAAAATGAAAAGCAGAAAATAATATATAGAAGGACAACAATATAAATAGAAAAAACAATCAAAGCTGAATGCTATGTAATAGTAATGACCAAGGCTGGCCCCAAAGAAAAGATATGGAAATGTATTTTCTCCTGCTTTTTTGCAGAGGTAGAAAATTATGGGTGCATAATAGCAAATATACTATTAGGCTTGGTTAATGTATTTATTAGTTTCACTCAACTATTTTCCCTCCTCTTTCTTTTCACTGTTTATTATATGGGATGGCTCTCCGGATTAAGGAAGGGAAGTGCATATTTGGAAAAAACTGATGATGTCAAAACAAAAGCCACCAAAAAGAATTTTAATGAGATAAAATAAAATATACTGAAATTTTTTAATTCATAGATGTCTGTAAAAAGCTATGTAATATTAAGTTCATATATAAAAAAGGCTGTCTTACCCTTGTACTGGAGTATCACATGGCAATTTACGTTTTCGGGAATCAGTAGTCAGTGGATCTAAGGAGTTTTCTCCTAATCCACTCATTTTGACTATGCATCAGCAACTGAGAAGAGAAAGGAAAAAAATATTAAGACACAAAATATCTGTTGCATAAAAGCGGTCAGGCAACATTATAGCTACATTTTACAATACAGAACTTTCTTGTCTGAAGAGGTAGGACAATGAAGAAGCTGATATTGCTAAGGGACACTGAACATTTTGAACATATTTTTCCCAGTCAGATCTATGTACAGTTTCTCACTTGACAACAGTTTTTCCAAATCCTCTCAAAACTGCATGCATTCTAGTGCTTGTTTACCCTGCCAAAGTATGAGAAGGATGTATTCAAATGGCAGCTCAACTTGAATGACCAGCACTCAAAAATAGCTGATAGTGTTAGTGGACGTAACAGTGGACTCTTCAAGGTAAGCACCCTAAAAAGGCACAGAAGGCTTTGAAGTTCCAGGTCAGATGGAAGAGCTCAACATATGGTCATAAAGACAAATAGAACAAATGCTATCTTGTTTGAATGTTAAGTTTCCCTAGGAAAAGGAAGGGTTTTGTTTTTTGTTTATTTGTGTATGGGGGAGGGAGCTATACTCCATATATTATAGACACTGGAATTTTTTAAACAAACCAATCTTTTTTAAGGGGTATTAAGGGATAACATTTGAGGCATGGGAGAGAAGAGAGTTTTAACCAGAAGAAATTATATGAGCAAGGCATAGACATGGGAAGGTATGGAACATATGTGAAAGATAAGTATTCTGGATTACGAGGTCCATAAAGGAGAATAGTACGAAATGAAAAACACATAGGTCAGAGCCACACTGTGTCTTTGAATGCTGACCAAATATGGCCTTTATTTGGTAGGCAATAGAGAACCACTGGTGTTTTTTAGCTCAGCAGTGAAATAATCAGAGCTAGGGTATTAGGAGATTATTATGACAGAAATATGTAGACAGAATTGGAGAGGGAAAGAGATTAGAAGAAAAGCCAATCAAATGTCTATCATAATAGTAATAGCTAACATTTATGTGGCACTTTTAAATGTTAGCTAAGTACTTTACATTTTATTATGTCATTTGATCCTTACAACAGCCCTACTAAAAAACAAATTAATGGGGGGGAAGTCCTGTAAGGGACTAGGAAGCTTCAGATTTTCAGAAAAGCACAAAAATTTTAAGTATTCCTATGAGGTAGGTGCTATTATTATCTCTATTTTGCAAATGAATGAGATGAGTCCAAGAGAGGTTAAGTGACTAGCCAGGCATTTGAGGCAAGATGACACTACAGGACCTTCCAGATACCCAGACACCACACACAACACTTTATTCACTACATCACCTGTCTGTTTTATAATAACATGAATGGAAAGGAAAAGATGGATGTGCAAATTATTAAGGGGGTATAACTGACAAGACACAGCAACTAATTGGAAATGGAAAGTGGAGAGGGAAGAGTCAAAGATAATCCCCAAAATTTCAACCAGAGGGTAACTACTAAGAGGAAGCAGAAACAAACAGGAGTAAGACAGGTAACCAGGAGACAATAGTGGCACAGAAGCCAAAGGGGAAGAATATAATCTCAACAAGAATGGTCAAAAGCATCAAATCATACCAAACAGTCAGTGGGAACACAGACTGGAAAAGTGCCAATTTTGGCATTTAGGTCAGTGATGACCTTCAGGAACATTATAACTCTTCCTTACCACATACAATTAAATTAAATGTATAGCAGTATTTAAGTTTGAGGTTATAAACAGTTCAAAAAGCTGATTTAAACAGGAAAAGACTTCGGAGAGGGGGGGACGACCCCACCTACTCAACCTAATTAAAACCATTTAAAATAATTGACTTATAAAATATTAATTGACCTCTAAGAACCCTTCTTCTATTAATCTAGTCCAACACTCTCATTTTACAAATGAGGAAAATGAGGCCCAAAGAAGTCACATGACTGCCTAGCCATAATTTTCTAAATATTTTGGGAGAGAAGAACTAATTGGGGTTATGAAACAAAGAGACAGTGAAGTATTTGCCTACCAAATCTACTTACAAATCAAAAAATTTACGTCCGAAAATCTTTTCTCTCCCATTAGAATGGATTTTTGCTCCTTGAGGACAAGGATTGTTTTTGCTTTTTCTTTGTATCCTCAGTATTTACGCACAGTGTTGTCATATAGTAAACTCTGACCAAATGCTGATTAACTGAAAATTTTCATCTCCGTTACCTTACAAAGCATATAAAGAATTTTTTCTTGAATGAAATAAAAGCTCTTAATTTTACCCAATGCTGAGACATTGTAGTGAATAATGGTCAACTTTCCACTAGATGGCAGAATCCTACCAAGTAATATTTTGTTAAACTACCACAAACTCCATCCCAAAAAGGCTACAACTAAGTCACCTTCACAAGTTTTAAGACTGAATAAATCATCATTTTAAAAGTCATAGATTAAGTACTCCTGTAAGGTACTAGGACGCATGAAGCAAAGATCATAAAGAACTGAACCCATCCTAAAATTTTGGAAGTGGAAATCTCTAGACATTTTGTTAAAGTAACAAGTAGAGTGATAAAACAAAGTGTGAGAGAGGACTTCAAATAACACATGATGAAAGATAGCTCAAGGCTATGGTTTAAAATATGTTTTGTTAAACTGGTGATGTTTGTTTTTTCTTTTTTTGTTTTTTTAATTCTCCAAGTATAAAGAGAAGGAATTCTCCAACTACACTACTGAATTAAATTTGGTAGACACTAGAACATTTTCTCTTCTCCCCACTCTACATGCCCCCCGCCCAAAAAAATTCTCAACTGGATCAAGGAGTTATCAATCCAATTAGTATAGAGATGGGGACTAGACCTGTTATTTCATTGGTGTAGGGAAAATCTCAAACAAGCTTGAGCTTTAAACCTATTTCACATTCTAAATATGTTTCCCTGCATTAATACTAATCACAGAAAGCTAAGACAGAATGATCCTTTGCTCCCCTAGTATGCTGTCTGAAATAAAACTTCTTGTGAAATGCATGTTTTAAAAAATGCTTTCCAATTAAGCATTAGTCATGCCAAAGTTAATAATTACCTAATATTTACAACAACATATGCATATAGTCCTAAACATTTGCAAAGCACTTCTTTACAATGATCCAGTTCACAATTTCCTCCTTTTAACAGATGAGAAAACTGAGGCCAGGTCTAAGAAGTTAAATCACTTGCTCATGATCATACAGCTAGCAAATATTTCAGGCAAGAAGATTCCAACCCAAGTCTCTTGACTAATTCTTCAGAATTCTAGCCATGAAACCACAATACCATCTCTCATACAATGGAAACTTTAGATTTTTCTCAATACTGTTATTCACATTTTAATGCAATCTTAACACCATAGTATACCAACTTGTTAAATTTTCACGAAACCAAAACTGAATCCTAATCACAAAGAAATGCCCTGTTCTTAGGAGAAATTACCTTACCTGCATATTAGATATACAACCTCATAGGTAAGATGAAGGGAAGAAAATATCAGTTATAATGTAATCTAACCAAGACTATAATAATTAACATATTGATTATATTAAATATAAGGATACAACTTGAGATAGAAGAGAATACCCATAAGGAGATGAGTTGGAAAACTATTAGAATATAACAATCCAGTGATAAAAACTGAATTAATGTGATAGTTGGTAATAGAAAAGAGAGGCCAATTAAAGGGAAGTGCTTAGCAACTAAGTGAATTAGTTGGAGGGAATAAGAAAAAGGGAAGAGTCAACAATACTCTGAAATCATATGCTGAGTGGCAAGAAGGATATAGCAGTGTCATCAATAGAAATGGGTAAGTTAGGAGGATCATACTATAAGCAGAGAAATTTGATTTTGGAGAAGTTAAGCTCCTTGAGGACAGGAATTGTTTTTTTCAATCCAGACAGAGATACTCAGTACAGCAAGTGGAAATGTAAGACTTGTGTTGGGGGAGAGTTAAGAACTAGAAATATAAATTTAGGAGTCACATAAATAGAATCATAGGTCATAGGATCGCTAGAGCTGGAAAAAGTCACCTAAGCCCAACTCCCTTTTTACAGATAAGAAAATTGAGGCCCAGCGAGGTAATAAACTGTGGAAGTACTGAAACTGTCAAAGGAGAAGGTAGGGTGAAAAGACTAAGGACAGAACAGAAATGACCAAAATCAGGAGTCAGTAACTAGTAAAACCAGGGAAGGAGACTAAGAAGGAACAAAAGAGTAGGAAGAAAACTAGGAAGAATAATGTTTCAGAAACCAAAAGGCAAGACAGTAGCAAGAAAGTAGTCACACAAAGGTCAAACCGAGGACTAAAGAGGACACTGGATTTAGCTACTAGGGTAGTAATTAGCAGAGGCAGATTTGGTAAAGGAATTGTGATAAAAACCAAATCTTCTGCAGGATTGAGGCATGATAGGTGTTATAAAAGCAGAGGAAGCAAGTGCAAACTGTTCTTTGTACGGGTTTAGTAACAAATAAGAGGAAAGAGACAGAACAATGTCTTTGAGAGGATAAGCAGAATCAAGGGAAAGTTTTGTTAGGTTACCTTGATTTGTTTTACACAAAAGCGAATGAAATCCAAGCAACATGAAGAAGATGAAGATTGGAGGACATGGAAGTATGATAAAAGGATTGAAGTCCTCAAGAAAATGATAGTTAGATCTAGGGTTACATCTGTCAAAGAGGAAGAAAACCTCATTATTTGGGACTGGGGAAAGAAAATAAAAGAGAGGCAAGTGTTCATGATCCATAGATATGGGTCCTCACACTAAGAGAGGTGAGAAAGGTGAAACAGACGGAGTAGAAGTAAAGAAGGTGAAGGTAGAATTGGGGGTTTGAGGAAAGGAGGAGCAGGCTTTGAATGGTGGCTACAGGGAAGGTGACAGGAAAGCAAGAAAAGAATTAAAAAGGAGTTACAACGAAGGCTGATGACCTAGTTCAGGTTAAAGGGTATAAATGATAGTCCTGACAATTTAATGACTTTCCCTAGCTATGCTATATCTATTTAACAAACTTTTTCTTGGACCCAATATATCAAATT